CTCCAGCCTGGGTAACAGAGCCAGATTCTAACTCAAAAAAAAAACAACATATATTATGGGGTAGAATAACTAATACTGAGAGCTGCTGATTGGATGATTTAAGTCATCAAGTAGGGAGAATCAAAGATGAAGACTAATGGTAAGACCAGATGATGATGGCTTTCAACAGAAACAGGGCAGAAAAGAACAAGTCTGTGAGGGAAAATGGGATGCTGGCAAAACATACTGAAAGACCCATGTCGAATCTGGGAATGGAGCTCAGGGAATAACTGACTATTGCCTACTCTAGATATCTGTGAATCGTCTACACTGATGGAGGCAAGAGCTGATGTTAGGATAATGAAAATTTCTAAACACAAGAGAGAAAAGGCCAAGAATAGGTATCTGAGAAACATTACACTTGAGAGGCCAAAAGGAAGATAACATTTGGATTTGGTGATGAGCTTGTTATGCTAATTCTTGTTTTATTCAATATTCAGTACTTAGCACAGTATTTAGTAAATAGTAGGCGTTCAGTACTTTAGAGTGAATAAATATAAAATGCACCTTCAGCAGTGGTGTTATTATGCGGCACTTGTGATATTTAAATAAAAAATTCAGCTGGATGGTGCAGTGGCTTGCACCTGTAGTCCCAGCACTTTGGGAGGCTGAGGCAGGTGGATCCCTTGAGCCCAAAAGTTTGAGACCAGTCTGGGCAACACAGTGAAATCCCACCTCAACCAAAAAAACAGAAAAACTAGCCAGCATGGTGATGAACACCTGTAGTCCCAGCTACTTTGGAGGCTGAGATGAGAGAAAGAATTCAGCCACCTTAAATATTTTTCTTTGATTAAAGCAAAATAAAATACCTTTAAACTTTCTTCTACAAAATTACTAATCAGATGTGTTTTACATTCACAGAACTCTACACTAATGCCCCAAGCATCATCTTAGGTCTTTTTATCACCTTACTGCCCTTTCACACCCAGCGTGATTATTTCTAAATATAGAAAGCTTTGGTTTCAGCCTCCACAAACAGTTAAGCTTCATTAGTGATATTCAATCTCTTTCATCTTAAAAGGCCTTCTTGTAATCACTGCTAAGCAATCAAACTCTTACCAAACCAAGGCTGCTGAAAACCTTAAAGAGAAGTCAATAGAAACCCATTCCACTATGGTTTAAGATAGATATTTAGGCATATTATCAGACATGTAATTTTTCCAGATATATATCTCTGTGAAGAGCCTATGAAAACCCTGGGTTTTAGTTCTCTTTCCTAATTCTAGGCCACTTAATTTGTTACTATTTTTCTCAAATGATTATACAAAGCTATCTTAGTATGATTAAATCTCCCTATATTAAATTACTTGATGATTTTAGAATTCTAAATGAATTTTGAAAGAGAACTGGGGACCATATTCTGAGGCAGACTTTTCTACTTGTCTACCATATACTTCATTTGACAGCCACCAAACCACCTCCAGACTGTCACTAAAAATTCATCTCAAGTTTTTTAAAGGAAGTTAGCTCTGTTACAGTGGCAGGCAGAAATTATTAAAATTGCATCTCCTCTCATTTTCTCCAAAATCTAGTGACAGAGAACACCTCTATGAGTGTATACATCTCTGGTAGATTGTATTGCTGTTTGAATATACTTTGTCAACTTCATCCCTGCCCAGGTGAGAGTCTATGCCCCTGCCCTATTTACGTCAGGCTTGTTCCTATGACTTGCTTTTGGAAACAGAATGTGAGTGGACACAATGATGTGTGCATGGACAAAATGAATCTGAGCAGAAGCTTCAGATGTGACACTGTGATTGTGACCTTGCTCCCGCTTTCCCACTGCCATGAAAAGAGTCATGTCCCTAATTGGAGGTGCTCCCATTAGCCTGGTCCCAGTGCAAACCATATACAAAAAGTGCATCTAAAGCCAACTCACAAGCCTAAAGTGGGGGCCAAACAACTGTCTTGCCATTTCTGAGACAAAATATGAAAATGAAATGAACATTTGTTTTAGACCATTAAGATTCTGGAGACTGCTGTGAAAGCTAATACATGATCTTATTCCCTCTGACCTTGTGAATCCTAAAGCCAGATAAATTCTTTTTCATATCCAATTGGAAATATGACCAGGATACTTATTTGAAACAGAACTGGAGGCTGTCCATGATTTGAAAATACCTGTTCTAACAGTTTCTTTACAGAAAAATCAACAGAGACACAGATAAATTAAGAGATCTGCCAGGTCACATTAGTTACAAGCAGAACTATGAACTATGCTCCCAGCTCCATGCACTGTAAAATGACTGCAACACTGCAAATTATGTCAGTGGCCCTCTAGGATGTAACCTTCACCTGTACCAACAGAAGTTAGCCTGGAGCAGCAAACTGTCATTTTCAAAATATACTGATCTTCTACAAAGATGAAGTCTTAAGACTCCTCAATATTATACTATTATGACACTTAAGCACCAAGCCATAGCATGTCTGGGAATACCAACTGCAGGCAACATCCTTAGAATTCTGAAGTTTTAACTAAAAAAAGCAAAAGCAAAGGATTAGCTCATACTTATATAATGTCAACTTAATTACACAGAAACATTTCCTGGAATGAATCCAGAATTACACTGGATTGTGGCATAGACATTAGGAAATCCACAAAAAAAAATGCATATCAATTCCTAAGTAAGAATATAGCGGGGAGAATCACAGAAAGAATCAGAATGAATCAGAGAAGCAGAATAGGTAGGGTACCTAGCACTGTCCAGGGAAAGGAGACAGACTCTGGAGGATGTGAGCAACTGGGACCTAGAGAGTGAGAGAACTCTCTTTTGAGAGGAATGCTAGCCTACAGGCTAATCTCAAGACATCTACCTTATTTTACACAAATCTTATGCTCAACAAATAACCTCCTGATGACTAATTCAGTTTCTCTTGTTCTTCCAGAGAGGGGGAAAAAATGCCAAGGACAGAATTCTCGAGCATGCCAGTCACTAGAATCCGTTTATTACAAAAAACTAAATTGACCTTCTGGTTTACATATCAATCTCCCTACATCTGATCAACTTAAAGCTTTGGGACCTCTGTTGAGGTGTCCTCATGGTCCATCTACAGGTCTCTGTAGGATTACCAAACTCCCTCACACTCCTCCCATTTCAATAGCAAACCTGCTGTCATAACACATCTTCGCAAAAGATGTTCCAAATATTTTCAATATATTATGAACAGGCATTAAGATAACTAACATGCTACCCTTACATAAACTGAATATACTCTTTAAACCATTCTTGAAGTGAAAAGTCTCTAGATTTCAAGTCCTTCCCAACAGGCACCTTCGCTTATGCTGGAGTCCATAGGACCAAAACAAGACACGCCACTGCACAGGACGACTTACGTGAAAACGTTTCTTTCTGTTTCTTTTCACTCCCCAATGTTTCATTTTACACTTCGTGAATCTAAAGGAATTATGCCTCTTCACAGAAAAATAGTAACACTCATTAATTCTGACCCTATTTCTAAAATGCCCTCCCTAGAAATTTTGTTAGGTTAGTTCACTGAATTAAGAGTTGTCCAAAACCCTTTCAAGATGGTACTTTCAAATTTAGGCCTCTATCTTTTGCTTTTAGAGTTAACACCAAGTAAGTATCGGTCTACTGATTTGGCCACCAAAAACGGTTTTAAAAAATTACTTTCCAGTAAACATGGACCATCTTCCAACGTCTTTTCCAGCATTATCAAAGCCTGCACAGACTTGCCAAACCACATGTTCTTTTTTTTTTTTTAACCAGTTTTCCTTCAACCCACAGGAAGTATTAGTAGCCACTTATTCTTTGCAAGTTGGTATCTCAGAGCCATTGAGAGAGACCAAGAACACTATTTATATTCTTGTTCTTGGCCAAGACTCTATAATTAGTCTGATACCAAGAATACTCTATCCAGGAATGCCTTGTGAAATAGGACTCCGCTGCTTAGGCTGAGATCAAAGATCCTGAGTACGGCCATTTCCCTGGAGTCAGCTCTGACGGGAAGGTCTGAGTCACTACTACTGTCATGTAGAGCTTCCAGTCAGCTCTGTGTAAAACTCGAGCTCTGACCAAACATGTCCCCAAGTAACTGTCATAACTACATATCTTAAAAGTATCCCAGATCCTCCGTAGTTCCTCTGCACAGATCCTATTGACCAGGGGCCCAGAATTGATGTCCTGGAGTTGTGATCGTTTTTCTCACATTTTAAATTCTAAATAAATGTGGTGAAAAGGAAAACCTACTTACTCTATAAATATGGGCCTCAAGGTGACGCAGACCATTCTGCTCACACCAGACAGAAAAGCCCTGGTTCCACAAAACAAGGTTTGAAATTACTGTCTGTGGTGGCCCATGTCTTAAAGTAACATAGTTAACCTTAGGAGCAGACAAACTGTCACGTGACTTACCTAGAATAATAAAGTGGTTATTTTTATACTGAAGCAGGTATAACAATAGCAACCATGGTGTTCACAGCTAACATTTAAATGAGAACTCACCATATGCTGTGCACTTTAGAAGCACAATCTCATTTAATATCCCAGTGGCCTTGTAAGTACTGTTATTTTTATTTTCATTTTTACAGATGAGGAAACCAAGTAACTGTGCCAGTGTCACTCAAATTGATTAAAGTATCAAACTGGAAGTTAAGTCGAAGTCTATATTGTTTTAGTTCTTGAGTTTTACATCCCTGCTTTTTTTTAAAAAAGTAGAATATCATTATTACGTTTTGGTTGGATTTCATGAGTGAACCTCAGTTTTACAATTGACAGATGAATTATTCATATTTTTGAGATTTTTTTGTTTTTTTTGAGATGGAGTTTCGCTCTTGTTGCCCAGGTTGGAGTGCAATGGCACGATCTCGGCTCACTGCAAACCTCCGCCTCCTGGGTTCAAGCAATTCTCCTGCCTCAGACTCCAACTTCATATTATCATCTGTGGTAATTAAACTGGACAAGAAAAGGAGTCTCATAAGTTGCATTTTGCAAAGTACTTACATAGTCAATGGGCTTGAGAGATTTGACTTTAGATGCTGGGCAGCCGCAGGAAGTAAGGTCAGCATAGAGGCCTTCTTCTAACACACAGTGATTAACAAACATGTCTTCTTGGTAATAGAGGAGCCAGCTAAAAGCCAACCAGTGAGATATTCAGTCAAATGGCATTCACTTGGCAGTTTAGGCTCATTATCATGCTGTGGGAACTGGGGTAGGGGTAGGGCATAGCAGGTAGTGCAGAGCAGCACCACACCACCTTTAAAAACAAAACACACACCAGCTACCACTGTCATTCCCTGACTGCTTATGATGTGCCAGGCATGAGGCGAGGCACTTTACATTTACTATTTCACAGTGTCCTTAATAATCTAAGAGTTCGGAACATCCTCATTTTATAGGCAACAAAAGTAAGGATTAGGAAGGAAAGGTGATTTTCCCATGGTTCCTCAAACTACCCAATGATAGAGAGGAAGTCTGAAATAAGACGACGTCTGCTTTAAGCCAAAGACATTCTTTTTCTTTAGTGCTTTCAATACAGCACTCTGGGATTAGATTATGGTGATTATTAAGGACCTGAACAGATTGTAAGTTCTTTTTGGGAAAAATTAAAAATTTTTGTATTTAGTTTAGATGAGAATAGAAGACAGGTATTTTAAAATCACACAAGAATATATAAAACCTGTCACCTACAAATCTGACAACTAATGGAAAATTTTAAAAAGAAATAAACCCCTTAGAATCTTCAATAGTGAGCTATCTTCAGTACAGCATTCATCAGAAGATTGCTAACACATACCCTTTTGAAAAGAATAAGCCTAAGGGAAAAATTAAATGGCTGTTACTAATTTAGTTTTGGTGTGGTTAAGTTCTAGCCCTGTATTTTAAGATCACCAGGACGGTACTCTTGTTAGACCAGTTCAACTCTGGATAACCACAGAAATGCTGTGTGACATTATCATTTACTGTCATGTCTTCTACTGTAATAGGCATTTTATAGTCAACATTTATCAAAGGTTTCTAATGTGCCAGGCATAAAGCTAGTGCATTATTTTATTTAGTCCTTATATGACTCCTTTGAGGTGAGTACTATTATTACCCATCCTTTACAGATGAGGAAGCTGAGGTTCAGAGAGGTGACCCATTTTGCCTAAAATTACATCGCTAGAAAATGGTGGAACTGGGTTCAGATCCAGGTCTCTCACACATTCCAGGTGTTTACACAATTCCCATAGTTCTTGTCTTCTTTTATTATCCTGCTGTTGTATATTTCCTACATGAAGAGATATGTGTGACTAGTTTGTCCTAGAACTCAGTGTCAAGAAAAATACATTTTCCTCCAGAAAATCTTCAGTGCTTCTCATTAACAGACGATGATCCTAAATCTTGTAAGATATTTTCTTTTATTTTAGTGTAGAGGAAACTCAGAACCAAATAATAGTAACAAAATTATTTCAGGTCGTTGGTATGTATATTTCTTATTAGAGTTGCAGATTTCTATTTAACTCACAGTGCCCTACTTTATGTGTTTTAATGTTGTAAAACTGTCATTTCCTTTTCAGAGTTAAGTACATAAACAAAGACAAATACAAGGAGGCTCAAGGCAGAAGAGCTATAGGAAATAGGAGAAGGAAAGGACTGCTTGATTTAGAGTTAATCAAGAAGATTAACAGAAAGAATGGAGTGGAGTGAACCTTAAAGGATATATCTGAATTGTTTTTAAGCAGGTGTCACAAACTTCCATAACTGCAGGAGACCACGGAGGTAATGCAGATGAGCAGTGTCACAGGTGGAAAAAACGTGGGAATGGCGGTGACTGTGGTAGGTTGGAAAGCACATACGCAATCTACTCAAGTACTGACAAAGGCAAAAGCTTTCCCCAAGTCTTAAAATCATCTGATTTTTAAAGAAAAGGTGGAAAACAGCTTCTTCTGAAAAATATCCTAAACATAAGTATTATTAATACAAATTTTTTTAACTTGGCGTACAGGCTAAACAAACACCTGCTGGCTAGATCTACCAGAGACCCCCAGCCTTCGGTATGAAGCAGCCGTCAGCAAACTGCCGTGCGTGGGCCAAGTCTGCCCCACTGCTTGTTTTCCAACAGCCCATAAGCTAAGACTGGTTTTCACATTTTCAAAGGGTTTAAAAATTTAAAAGAAGACCATTTCATGGCATGGAAACGTTACATATAATTAAAATGTCAATGTTCGTAAATAATGGTTCATTGGAACACAGCTGTGCCTATTGGTTTGTGCACGGCTGCTGTTGTGCTGTATCTACCAGCAGTGTTGAGAGTTGCTGGGACAGAGCCTGTGGAACTCGCAAAGTAAAAAATATTCACCATGTGATTCCTTATAGTTGAAGTTTGCTGACCCCTGGGACAGGTAAGGCTTTGGAAAGTGAATATGAGAAGAGCGGAGAATAGGATGGGAAATGGAGAGGGAAAAAGGGGCTAGCTGATGCTAAGGTCTGGAAAAGAAAGAGTTTGAGCTTGATTGGACTGGTACTAGAAAATGGCTGGGAATTAAAGCATTAGTAAGAATATCAAACTGGATTTTGGGACAAATAATTGGACTATGATTTGTTTGGGGTAAAAACTAGAAATAAGATGACCCGGAAATACATGGTAATTAACATACTGAAGTTTTTCCAAGTGAAAAATAGAAGGCCCAGGTCTCTCATGATTCATGGGAGAAGGGAGGAAAACTGACAAACCCAAGATATTTTAAAGGAAGAAAAGAAAGACTTTGATAGGTTATTAGGAAGATGTTTGATACACAGAGATGCTACAAACTATACGGTTAAAAATAGTTAAAATGGTAAATTTTGTTATGAATATTTTAGCACAATAAAAAATTTGTAGAATATATTTTAGCTGTGGGACTCACATGCAGTTTCATATACATATGAAAAATATATAGTATATTGTTGCAATTGGAAGAATATTAGATTCAGAGATAAGAAGAAAAAAACCCAAAGCAATCACAGGTCTGAAATTTGGTATATAATCTTGGAAAACTCTAACTCTGAACCTGGTTTCCACATCTGTGATATGGGGATAATGCATACTTTGTTAAAAGGTTAAAAAAATTAGGATTAATATGTCTTACTTGAATAAAAACACCAGGTATTTTTATAGCATTCTACTATGCCAGACAGTAAATATACAAAATAAACATTCAAAATATTTAGGAAATAATGTAAGATCACAGTGAGAGACAAAATCAAAATGCTCCCTAAGTTGGTTAATCGGCATTCTGTTTTTCGGTATTCTATCATAGCTCAAAATACAAATTAAGCAAAATTTATATAGACCAGTTAGCAGGTAACCAATGTCTGTTGAAGAGAAATTTTAACGTTTCACTGTGCATGCAAAAAGTAAATTTATATAAATTTTAAAAATTAGTTATTAAATAACAGCAGAAATCACTTAATAAGCATACTTACCAACCTCGAAGAACTTTAAAAGAACATGGCATGAGTGAAGTCAGATCAGCAGTTTCTTGTGTAAAATCTGAACATTCACCTTGGAACCCTGGTTTACTGAATGCTTTGAGCTACAAGAGCAACAACACAACAGCTAAATTTAAAAAATGGTCTTAGATGATCACAAGCAAATAACCTTTAATTTCATGAATTTATAAAATGCAGCAAGATAGTAAACTCCTTTTTAGTCTCTTATCAACGAATTCACGTTAAGGATGATGATATGCTCCTTAAACCAGCTTTCCCACGTGTTTCCAGGAATGGAATATCACTGTTTATCATTTTTCTTGCCTCTCTTCCACCAAATTGTGGGTACAGAGGCCTAGAAAACAATTCTACCTATAAGAGTACATCGGAGTCCTTCTTCCACTAAAATGTGGTCCTTTATTCTCTCAAACAACCATTATGCCCTATGTTGAGACTAGATGTATAAAATAAGAAGCAATTTAGTGCTAAACATGAAAGAGGCTTAGGTTAGTGTGAGGCTACATGGTATGCTGCTTCTCTCCCTAGCTCTTCCTGATCCACAGTTAATATGAGGAGAAGACAGCACGAGCGCATGCCCATAAGCAAGCAAGAAAAGTGCCCACGAGGGCACAGGAGCAGGTGGCGGAGGAGATAATAATGACGGGGTCAGTGGAAGATTTATGGTGAAGAAAGCAAGATATCCGTGTCATGTATTTCAGCTTATAGCCTTCGGTTTTCTGATAAGAATACCTTAAACGTACAGCTTACAGTTACATACTATTACATTTCTACTTTAGTCCTTTTTGTCGAAAAAAATCCATGAAATCTCAACTATAATTCCCTTTAGACCAGGTATATAATAATTTGCAATTCCAGTAGGCTTGAATGTACAATAGGAATGAAAAAAATTAAAAGCCCTGCAAAAATTTCATAATACACTGGAGACCTGGAACAACATGGCCCACAGGTCCACCCTGCGCCGACAGGCCGGCACTAGGGCACAGAACGCATCCTAACAAACCATCTGCAGCATCGCCCTGCCTTCTGCTCATGCTGTCATCAAGGATACAGCTTTTCTGAGCAGCCAATGTTCACCTCCCTCGTCTTCCAAAAGGCCTTTTCTTAGAAGTACTGTTTCTTGGCTATCTCATTCTGCTCTGACCTTACTTGATCTGTTATCAGAGATCAGTCAAAATCAGTGTGGTGAGAAAAGTAATTCCCCCTGACCATCTGTGGCTTGCATAACACCACTTCCTATTAGGAAATCACACTGTATTTGGAGCATTAAAACACCAAGGGACTTCTTGCCTTAAGGAGACGTGATCCAGCAAGTTTCTGCTGTAGTCCTTCTGGAAGATGCAGAGGATAGCAAGGGAAGGAAGTCTGAACCAAGACATACTTATGTCTCATGTTTTATCTATTATCATTAAAGATGTATAAAATGTGAAGCTAAAAAGCAAACCATTTTTAACATCCAAAAACAGAGAAATTTCTCCTGCATGGAAACACTATCTTACTAAAAGTCAGAAAAGCCATATGAGAAGAGACACATGTTGTCTTGTTCACTACTTGCATTCCCAGTTTAATTAATTGTACTGTATTCTGCTGAGCTGAAGATTCATACTTCAACATTTTCACAATGAAACCATGAAACGTCAAATCCTAGAATACTGATAATGCCAGTTAAGCCTATTTCAGATGGTATACATAGCAGCTGCCTCCATTTTTTGTCTCAGTCTTCATACCCAGAAAAGTTATTTCAAATTCATATATACATGCAGAAATAATGTTATCAAGTATCTCTTGATAGGTTAAAATAGTCTTTGTCCAAACTTTAAAACCTGGCTTAAATGCTTATCTGAGTTTACTAAACGAGATATAGTGTCTGATTCACCCAGAATTAAACCAACTCTACAAAAACATGCATTTTGATCACCTTATCAATCCTCAAAATAGAACAATTCTCATAATAATGTCCTGAGGAGCATCCATACAGAAACCAACTCTGAGCTTACTGATTATAATAATTAACTTGTAGTTTCTACACGTGGTGCAATTAAGTGACAGACCCTTGGAGAAGTTAAGTCCTAGGAAAAACTAGCTGGATAAACGACCATGTTAGCTTCCTTTACAGATCCATGGATAACAAGTATACAAAATAACTCAATACTGAGGCAAACAGACAAACGAGAGATGAGTTTTTTTGCAAACTATACCCATCCCCCGTACCATGTAGGTATGGCTCAATCCCTACCAGCTCCCCAACTGGAAATGTACGGAAGCAAATAAAAAAAGTGTCCCTGCGGTTTGCTCTTCTTAGAACTACCATTTGAGAGAAATTATCTCCACTCTATTAAGAAGATTTTATGGAAATGCTTTTTGCTATGTAATTTTCATTTATAGTATATGCTAATAATATGTGGTAATAGATCTATAATATGACAAACTATTATAAAGTGCAATGAACTGACAAAACACAGAAGCTGTGCTGACTTATTCTACAATATCAGCATTATTTTTAATGTAATTTTACTTACTCCAATACTAAAATAATTTCTATGAGAAATTTTCATCCCTGTCTAAGTAAGACTTTCTCTAGCCCTTTGGGCTTCCCTCATACAAATATGTTGATTATTAAGGAAAAGTCTTGTTTCCATTCTTCTATTACATCACATCTTTCTCATACGGTAGTGTTATATATTTCTCATATCGGTTATATATTCTACAATGATTTCATTTCCATTATTAATCATAAAGCCTTTCTTTACTGAAATAATTCTTCCTAAGTAGTTGTGACTTGGCTCCTATAAAAATGATCTAGTTAAAGTGCCACAAAGAAGTAAACTGCTCGTGAATCTTACTGTATTTGCCTAAAGCTGTCATTTTCCTATCCCCCACACATGAAAACAGTAGCAACAATTATTACAGATCCTGTGATCACCTTAAAATTCAGTGAGGCTAAAATATCCAATATAAAAAAATAGGCAGTTGCTTTTCTTGTTGAGAATCATGTATAAAATGGAACAGGGGCTCAATATTTAAGTAAATCCAAATTTTTAATTAAATCTGGAAATGGACTTTAAAAAGATTCTGGAAACAAAAGGTACTTGGCTGAGTCAAAGGGGAGAACTGGTTAGATTTCTAGAGAATGATGCCTAACTACAACTTCCTCTGAAAACTAAATTCACTGTTATAAGATTTAATCTAGTACTAGATTTCAGATAGTCAGGACTTGCAATAAGAGAGATGATGACAATATGAAGATAATACATATTCTCTTTGGTTTCTGTTTTGTTTGGGGGGAAAACAAAAAAATAAAATGTCACTTGCTAATGGTGAAGAACTCTATAGCGATCCTGTATATCCTGAGTTGTTAATTAGACATAGTGACCAACCTTCAGCCTTTGGAGAAAAACAATCTTCTCATTAAAAGGTGGTGTTCTCTGCATGTTCTCACCCATAAGAGGGAGCTGAACATTGAGAACACATGGGCACACAGAGGGGAACAACAAACACCAGGGCCTGCTGGGGAGTGGGGGATGAGGGGAGGGAACTTAGAGGACGGGTCAATAGGTGCAGCAAACCACCATGGCACACATATACCTATGTAACAAACCTGCACGTTCTGCACATGTATCCTTCTTATTTTTTTTAGAAGGAATAAAGACAAAAAATTAAAACAGAACTTTCCTAATCTCAAAACAAAAAATAAAATTAAAAGGAGGTGTTCCACCAGTATCTCAGATAAGCCATATCTCATCATAACATATTTCCAGAGCAGTCAGCAACAGTATTTTTATCACCATACATTCACAATGTATATTAATCCCTATACACATACACTTTCTGGCTTTTCCCCTCTTAGGTTGCTTAAGATTCCCCTTAAAATCACCAGCATAAAAAAATTCCCTCTCTGACTTGAGCTCTGAAATGAAACTTCCTCCTTACTCCTCAGAGAGGGAAAAATCAGTACCCCGTTTGAATACAGCATCTGTATTGCCAATCTGACTGTTTTAACTACTGCCTGTTGAAGAGAAAATACTTTCTAGTTATTGAAAGGAACCAGTGTGTCAGCCAAGATTCATTTGTTTAAATAAGTATAAACAAGAAAAATGTCTGAAAATTTGGTCCACTGAAAATAAGACTTTGAGAGTAGGTAAACAAAGAAAGCTTTGTTCAATGTGTTACCAAATATCCAGCTATCATATACCTGTCGGAAATGCTTATTTCTCAACGCAATAACTGAGCCATACCCAGAAAAATGAAGTGGAGCTGATTTCACTGGGCGTCTTCTGCTGCTTCCTCTCTTCAAGTTAGGCTGGAAACACTATAAAGAAAATCCTCCCAGCAATCTGCCCCAAACAAGGAAGTCCATAAAAAAAGAACAAGGAGGTAGGAGCAGAAGAAACAGAGATTTTAAAAAATGGGACTTTTTATCTGTACTTAGCAATCAAAAATGTGCAGCTTGAAATAACTTTTCTTTCATATATCTACTCATGTTATTTTCATTCATGTGAAAAAATACTTTAAAAATCCACAGTTGGGAGTTTTCAAAACTTCAAAATAAAGATCTGGCAGGAAGTGTCTCTAAAGACAACAACTCAATTATATTCACAAAGGAAATGTTCCGCGTAGGCCTGGCTCATCAGAAAATAATAAAACCTGAAAGCACTGTGAGTGTAAACATGGTTAAAGTACGCTGGTCTGAAATAAATACTGACATGAAGATAGGAAATATATACATTCAGAGAAAAACACTGAGCATTATGTAAAGGCAGCAAATGCTAAATATTTAAGAGTAATTACTATATTTGGCTTTCTGACAATAATTTTTCTGAATTTGTAATTTAAAATAAAACAAAGGAAACAATGCCTCTCACCCCCTCTTCCTTCCATAGTTGTACTGCTCATATCATGGTTATGTCTTTCTTTGATTTAAAACCCTGAAAATGTGGTTTTGTCAAGTGCAGTCCACACTAGAAATGTCTCTTTTGCTACTTCTAGTTGTGTGCATGGAACTTACTTAAATTATGAATCTCAGATTTATTGTCTATAATTGGGAGTAACACTGACCTCATGGACTTAGAATTGTTAAATAGGCACAATTTCTAGCCCTCAATAGAAAATGAACAAATGTTAGGCTCCAAAGTATTGCCCAGTCCCCTTCAAACCATTAATACAGAAGAAATGAATATAGGGCTTCAAGTTCACTAGCTCAGAAACATTTGAGGTCGGTATTAGAAATACATGTACATAATAAGCATGCTAAGACAGTGACTTCTCCATGGTAAGTTTGCTCTTCCAGAGATAAATATAATATTCTATGAAGAATGCGACGCTGAAGAAAGAATGGGCAATGGGAAACAAAGAGTGGCAGAAGTTCAAAAAGTGGTCGGAGCTACAGCTCTGTCAGGAGAAAACAAAAGAAAGTATGACAAACCCAGACTATGCACACACTGACAGAGATGTGAATTCGTCCGCTCATAGGTACCAAGTACAATATACTCTGCTCTGCCAGAGAGACAAAAAAGTTATCTGCAGAAAAGAGAAAGGTTTGATAGAAAGGGTATAAAAGCTTTTAGTAAACAATTTAACAATTATAAGAATATTTTTAAACGTACCAAATGTGGAGGTTCATTTATCCCAAGTGGTTCCTGAAAAACATTAAAGCATTTTCAAAATTGTAATCACATAATCTTAGTTGTCTTTTTGAAAGTTCTGAAAATATCCTTTGAAAAAAAATTGCTTTTCTTTTTCGTTTTTTTTTTTTTTTCTTTTCTTTTTTGAGACAAGGTATTCGTATGTTGTCCAGGCTGGAGTGCAGTAACACACCTTCAGCTCACTGTACCCTTGATCTCCAGGGCTCAAGCGATTCTCCCAGCTCAGCCTCCCAAGTAGCTGGGACTACAGTCATGTGCCAAAACACCCAGTTAATTTTTACTTATTTTTTGTAGAGACGAGGTCTCACTGTGTCGTTCAGGCTTGTCTCGACCTCCTAGGCTTTAGCGATCCTTGACCTTGGCCACCCAAAATGCTGGGATTGCACCCCTGAGCCACCGCAGCCACCACACCCAGCTTGAAAAAATATTTTGATGGTTTGATCTGTTTATGAGACTCTTTGAACTGGCTATTGCTCTCAAATAACCTACTGAATTCTCTTATAATGATTTTAGTATTTATAGCTAATTCATTTTGAGTAATATTGAAGCTGGAAGACAAATATGGCCTAGTACCCATTACAAAGAAGGAGTGTGAATTTCTGAACATTGTCTCGTGGGCACTCATTGTTCTGCAGCATTTGCTATTATCCAAACTGACCACACTCTTCTACAGAAGCTTCATGAATCTGCACATAAGGACATTATTCCTTGTTTGTGAAATGCCCTTTCTGCCTGGAAAAATTGCTTTTATCCCTTAAGCTATCACTCAAGTCACCAAAACATCCTCTTCTGTGGCAAGGTCTTCTATTCCCCAGGTACTGAGTGTTCCCTTTCCTGCTCCCCTGCACTGCCTTCACACTTCATTTTCTCACTAATCATACTATGATTTATTGTCCATACATCTTTCTCCCCTAGGAGACAGAAAACCAACCGGACGGTCTTAATCTTTATCGCCGGTGATTAGCATAGTGTCCTACACATCAGGGACACTAAATAAATGCTGTTGAGTGAATGAACGGATCGAATCACAGGGGCTTCTCATTCATGTGTTACTATCTGCTAGCTCTCTACGGACTCTATCGAAATTCATAGTAATATTGCATTTTCTTTCCATAAACACACATGACGTGATTCAACAGCCCCCCTTTTAAAAAGCGGTTTCCACATATTCAGTTGCAGGCTGTTACGTAACGCAGCATGGGCTATGTTCATACTTCACTCACCAGTTGGATTGGTCGTATGGACATGATTATGTTATTTGATCCTCCCCAGTCAAAAAAACATTTGTATTTCCCTTTTTCTAAAATGTATTGTTCTCCACAGAAGAACTTTTGCTGGTAGGCAACCCATCTAGTAGGGAAAAAAGAAAAAAAAAAAAAGAAGAAGAAGTGATATACAATCAAGCAAACAACAATTTTAAATACCAAAGAATTTCTCAAGGTTCTTAGTTTAGGGGGCAACTTACACTCCACTTTTAACATGAATGGATCTTGTTTTACTGCCAAAGCCAATTTCTTCCAAATCAGAAATTTCCTGATTTGTAATGTCAATAAACTTCCCACTTTCTAGGTCAGATTCAAACAGTGTGACAGAAGATTCTATAAAATTCTAAAAGGAGAAACAGAAAAGTTTAGGAAAACATACATATTCTGTTTTATGGACTGCTATTATCTTAGCAAAATATCACATACTCATGGGGTAATTTTCACACAAATAACTCCAAGAAGAATTTTAAATGGCCCTGCAATCATTTTATAGCTATTACTCCCATGTAGTTTAAAGGAAAAAAATCAGTCTGAATTTACTTTCGTTGGGAAGATACTACACTTTTATACAAAGTAGTCGTGAGTAAATTTCTGGGGCTTACAGGCTATCATATACAACACTAATTGCAAAGGAAACTAGTCTCATTTGTGCCTAAGGAATAAAAACTACATGAAACAAAAGTAAATAAATAGTGTACTGTGGCAATGTGTGACAGGATTTTATGAGCTTAAATATAATAGGAAAAATATAATTTGCTTAACAAAAAATGTTCATTAAAAAATTAAATGATAGGAAATTTAAAAAAACATATAATGAGTCAACACATTTAAAACAAAGATATCTTAGAAAATCTCTATGACTCAAATAGATAAATTGGCAAAAGACAAAGACAATTCATGAAAAAGAAAATAATAAATATGCAAATGTCTAATTTCATGAGTAAATTAAAGAAATTCAAACTAAACAATTAGATACAACTTTCATTTCTTAAAGAAAGCTCTAAAAGTCCAGTTTTGTCAAACTATATTGCTGGTGGAAACAAGAATTAAACATCTATTTTATAAAATGACTTAAAAAGCAGACTAAAAAGAAACTGTTCATGCTCTCTGACCCTGAAATTCCTTTTTGAATTAAGAAAAGTCTCCTAAGGGAATTAAATGATGAGCAATTTATATGCAAAAATGCACTATTTACAATAGTGAAGTTTGTACACTATGTAAATGTCCAAAAGATGGTTTAATAAACCTTTCACTTCATCTGTCACTTGGTGGAATATTATTAAATATAATTAAGAGTTTTTAATAAACTAACAGAACAAAGCCCAGGGTAAGTCCTATAAGGTTATTAGATTACTAAGTAACTGCCAAAGTCACCTAGATTTAAGTGTAGCTCTTCTGCTTGAGAATAAGGAACATTGATGGAACAACCTTAAAAACTGTATTCCATTTTACATTTTAAAGCACTTGGATAAGTTAGTAGTTAGTAAAATCTCAGGTACAGTACTTCCGACTATTTTTTTTTATATTGTACTTTAAGTTCTGGGGTACATGTGCAGAACGTGCAGGTTACATAGGCATACATGTGCCACGGTGGTTTGCCGGATTCATCACCCCATCATCTACGTTAGGTATTTCTCCTAATGCTATCCCTCTCCTATTCCCCCACCCTCTACTATGCCTCCCCTACCCACCCACTCCCTGACAGGCTCCAGTGTGCGATGTTTCCCCTCCCTGTGTCCATGTGTTCTCATTGTTCAACACCCACTTATGAGTGAGAACATGTGGTGTTTGGTTGTCTGTTCTTGTGTCAGTTTGCTGAGAATGATGGTTTCCAGCTTTGCAGGGACATGGATAAAGCTAGTACTACCTACTATTAAGAGAACACTACTGAGCAATTGTTTCAGACCCAAAGATAAGTCATAAGGATCAGTAATTTGATTACTTTTAAATTCCATAAAATCCCAAAGCTGAGTCCCTGCATTACAATCTCCAGAGGGCAATGTGATATGAGACATTGGTGGAGATCTCATGTATCCATTAATTTAGGAGAACAAATGGTCTCTGCTGCATACCAACCTAACATCAAAGGTCTGAAAAGAGGCCTAAAGTCTGAAAATCACAACAAAAGCAAATATAAAGTTAATCTAGTATAGAACTGAGGAAAAGCAAGCACACCAAGAAAGTGTTATTGAGGACATCAAGGAATAAAAATTACTTAATCCCTGGCCCCTAAATACTGTTATATTACTTTTGGTCCTCTCCTAAAAAAAATGCAACTACGATGTATTTGGATGACTCATTTGGAATTAGGAACACACTTCTGATTGTCCTCTCCAACGCACTCCATGATACACGTCACATTATCCCTGAGGAACATGTCTGGTATTTGAACTTAGTAGATCCAGGGTGTTCCATACACTGGAGCCAGGACATTTGAAAACTGTATTATGCAGCTCTTCTTTATGTCCTCTAGTGTGGTTTATATTACTTCAATGGATATCTTAAATGCAGTGTTTCACTCTTCCCCAGGCTGGAGACACCTGAGCCTCTGCACGGGGTAACAATGTCTGACATCAACTGTATGTATTATCTCATAGAGGGCTGTCATAACTACAAGAACATTAAGAACTCCTTTCCAATTAAAATGCTATGTCTGGGGAATATTCAATTTTTAAGTATAATTTGATAAGCAAGTTTTTGAAGGATTTTCACAATATGTACATATTTTATGTTGTCTAAATACATGTAGATTTTTTTAGTATATTTCATCTGAAAGTATTTTAGTGAACTTAAACGTAAATGAGAAAGTGTCTGAAAGTCATGTATTTATTATATATGTATTTTGGTCTGTAATGTGACCCTATATTTATAGCTACAAATAAAGTGCTAATAAGTCTTTGACTGAATGAAATTCAATTTTTTATTGTTAAGATAATTTTTAAGTCTAAGCATTTTGGAACAATAATAAATGGATAATATGACATGGGATCTAGAGTAAGACAGACTTGCCCTCAAATCACAGTCTACACTTGCGCACAGTGCCTAACCTCTTACATCATCAGTTTCTGTATCTCTAAGATAGGAATCATAAGAGTCTCCAATTCATAGTCTTTGTGAAGGTTAGTACAAATATGCATATAAAGCCATTAGTAAGTACTTGAAAAATGTTAAGATTATTATGAGGATTATAATAACATCTTTAGCTATGAGGTAACAACTCATAGTTTAATTTTTTTTAAATCTAATTTAAGGAGAGTAGAAGAGAAGATATTCCTTGAAGGGTATTTTTACTTATATATTAAAAAAAGAACCTGTCATTTTTGTACAGTCCCAAAACTTTTGTTTGCAGTATTAATTAACATGTTCATTTCTGCTGTTTTCTATTATGTATTATAGCCTCTATCTATATCAAATATCTCCTAATTATTTAGCTATGTGGTTGCATAACTTGTATTTATAACTTTTCACATTTTCTACTACTGAGGGATTTCAACCAGTGACCTGGGGTTTTGGTCTTTTGTTATACTTGTTTTAGTTAAAGTCATCTTTAGAAGACACCATCAAATTCAGTGCTGAACATTTCTAGCATTAGCAATACTCCCACCCAACTTTTTCTTAAATAAGTTGGGAGAAAATTTTAAATTATTCAATACTGGGTGGGCGGTGCTTTGAATCATGACCCATGATTTCCTCAGTGTATGTGGTCACAACGATCTAAAGTGTAAAGAAGGCTCTGTCTTGCTTACCTTTTAGATATCAAGTAAGACATGGCTAAGTAAAGAAAATCCATGGTCCCTGTGTGTTAGAACGGTGGACTAAATACTTCACAAATTATTTGTCTATAGCTCAAGAAATCCCAGTGCCCAATATTCAGTAGACTGTTCTATTTTTTTTTCAGGTAGAATTGATTTCCAACTCATTGGTACAGTCACCAGAAAGATCTTTCTAAGCCATTAATGTAATCATGCTTACTAGGACTAAAATCCATCAACAGTTCATGGTCAACTCAAGAAAAAAAAAATCTAAACTCCTCAATATGGCCCTTCATTATCTGGCTTTAGACCGTCTTTCCAAAGTTCTCCCTAACATCCCAACTTAACCACATTTCCCTAAACATACCAGAATTTTGCTTACATGAGGGTTTCTCAACCTCAGCACTGTTAATATTTGGGACCCTGTAATTGTTTGTTGTTGGGGTTGTCCTTCACATTGCAGGAGTTTGGCAGCAACCGCTGCCTCCACCCTCTAGATGTCAGTAGCACCCCTGCTCCAGAGAGGACAATCCAAAATGTCTCCAGATACTGCCAAAGGCCCCCTGAGGGGTAAAATCACCCCTAGCTGAGAATCAACAGCTTATAACCTTGACTTTACACATTAACGTGTTAATCTCTTGCTACACAGGCACCTACCTTTTTCCTTCACCCTGTTCTAGAACTTCTTCACATGGTTAACTCTTTTGAACTTGAAATTTCAGCCAGGCGACATCTTTTCCAACTGACCTTCTGCTGCGGACTCTGAGTACTTCGTACTTAATACAATCATAGCCAAACAATACCAAACATTTATATAAGTGCTATCTTCCTTACCAGACTGCCTGCTCTGTGAATGTGGGGGCTGAGTCTGGCCACTCCTAGCATCTAACAAAGAAGGTACTCAGAAAACGATTATGGGAACAATGGATGAAATGTTAAAAAAAAATCCATAATAATCATGGCAGTTAAGAAAAATAGGCAAGTTGGAGAGGCAGTTCAGGTTAATGCTCTTGGTGTTGGAAATATTTTATAATTTTTATCAGGAGTCATGTTCAATTTTTGTGAAAAGATTTTTTAAAAGGTAGAAAATTAAGGATAAGGAAGTTAACTCACAGCTTGCAAGTACCGGAAAGACAAGATAGGGCCATTTAATGCACCACAAGCATTACTGTCTTCAAAGTCTCCTTCTTCAAGCAAAAACTGCTGGCCTTTAAAATGTTCTTTTTCATAGGCAACCCACCTAGAAATAGAGGGGATACCAAAACGACCCATTAATAAAACTCTAGTCAAGAAAGCAAAACAGAGACAATCAAGATAAAGCTCATAATGGTTCATCTCCATATTCTAAAAGCAACACATTTGTTTTGTTTTCATTTACAAAGAGAGACAAATGGTGTGTGCTTCATACATCAATTTTTATAATTTGGAGACTTTTCCCAACAAAAGGTTAATTATAGAACTGCAACAGAGCCATGGTTTTTAAATGTTTGTGGTGTGACTTATACTACAGCGCACGGTGGTCAGAGAACAGTGTGCCAAGTTAATATAACACGAAGTGTATGTAGCCAATAAGAAAGGATACTAATTTACATAGAGATCCAAAGGTAATCATTTTTATTTTACTAATTAAGCCATTCTGGAATGACAGAATGACTTTTACATGAAACATTTATTCAGGGTTTAAATCAAGAGAATCTGTCACCAGGCTTCAGTTCAAAAACAAAATACGAGATGGTTTAGCAAAGAGGAACCAGGAAATTCGACTGGGCTGCTATTAGTTTACAAGGGCTTCTGTAAATACTTCCAGGTGGGAAATGTTGGTCCTGTACTTTCTTGACTTCTAATCTAAAACTATCAGTACAAGATACTGATAAATACCATTAGTTATTAAGCTCCTCCATGAAACTTACTTACAAAAAACTTATAAAGTAATCCACGGTATCTAATGCAGCGTGGGCATAGAAGGCTCATAAAACAATCTGGCCTTTTCAAATCTGCCTTTAGCCACACAGTGTAGTTAGGCTGAGATGCCCTCCCATAGTGCTGACTCCAAGGATGACTATTTCTGAGCTCCAGGGTTGGGAACTTTGGAATTCAGGAGCTTGACAAAATAAAGCCTAGGAGTGCTGCCTACTATTGCTTTTTCTTTCTTCACTCCTACTGTGGTTGTGAAGATATAGAAAATATTCCAAATAGTTGTTTTCATAGGGCACAAACAGCCATTAATTGTTACTCCCTCTACCCTTTCTGTAAGTATAGGTATGATAGTGGGGCAAAGGGTCCACGTGAATTGGAATAAACCTATAAACCTATTTATACATCTCAGTATATCTGTAATATGTAAATCAACTAACATTATTTTATTCTTAAACTATTATATAAAAATAAATTCCACAAAACAACTTGTAAATTCTAAGCTTTCTTTTATGTAAGTGTGGCTACTCAAAACATGCTTTTATTTATATCTGAATAGGAAAAGAAATAAAACGTATAAAAGACCTTAAAGGATAGATTAGGATTTATGAATTTATTATATGACAGTCCAATAATTATGTATTCAGTTTTTCTTAACAGACTAAGTTTTGATTAAGATTAAATGTATATATCCCTCTGATATATTTAAAGGTAGGTATCATCTAAGAAACCTTAAGAAGCATTAGCTTTGCCTTCCCCACATTCTTCAAGATGGTACAAGGATGGGGTCCATGCTACCTACAGATAAAACTGAACAACAAAACCAAAAAATGGTGGAAGTTGTGAAAAAATAATCAGCTGTTCCTCTTTAAATGGGGACATCACATCTTTCTCCTGCAGTTTTCACATAAAAATGAAAGTGCGTATCCTGCATTACAAGTCATGTTTACTTAGGAGTTCTACAAAATAGCTATAAAAAAACCCTTAGAGAATAGCAATGCACATCACACACAATTTTAGCAGATAATTTTCTATGCAGCAGAAAATTAGTTTTACCCTGAGTCAGTCTAGTTAATAGGAAAAACATTTAGATCTCAAGGAAAAATATGTTATAGCAGGGTTAACAAGAAACATGTGTGTTCACAAACCAAACAGTACTACAAACAAACAATAAAAATGTGTTTATCCAAACCATATTTGTTCTTTAAGACCCAAATTTTTTTAAATTGAAAGACAAGGAAGTAAGTGATTAATAATATGTCAGACCAGGCCAGGCGCGGTGGCTCGGCCTGTAGTCCCGGCACTTTGGGAGGCCAAGGTGGGAGGATCACAAGGTCAGGAGACCGAGTCCACCCTGGCCAACATGGTGAAACCCTTTCTCTACTAAAAGTTACAAAAAAATTAGCTGGGCATGGTGGTGTTGCCTGTAGTCCCAGCTACTCAGGAGGTTGAGGCAGGGGAACCGCTTGAACCCAGGAGGTGGAGGTTGCAGTAAGCTGAGATCACATCACTGCACTCCAGCCTGGCATGAAAGCAAGACTCCATCTCAAAAATAATAATATGTCAGATTAATAATTGATATAATCTACATATCCAGCATATATAATCTCTTGCATTTTTATTTTGACTGGTATGGCTATCACGTAATTTATTGCCTGAAATTGCAAAGGATAGATCTGTAATTATAGACACTTGAGTGGTCTTAGACAAGTCACTTAACTTCTGTGAATAAAATATGTTAGTAGCATCTTTTACTAGAGTAGCTATTAACAAAATTATATGACGTTACTGCAAATATCAAGAGATACTGATACTTAAACTGACGTTCCAAAATAACCGCTGTATCAACATGGATCAACAGAAAGTTTCTAGAGGGATTATAGCATTGGGTTGACAATGATAAATAATGAGGACAGTCTCTTCTTCATGGTTTCACCTGCCAGGATACGAATATGAAGGTACATCCTAGGCCCATCACAGATTTGGGGAGTTTCTGGCCCAGTAACTGCTAAGACTGGGATGGTAGCAAAGGTGCTTACACTTGGGTTTGTATCCAGGGGTTCCTAGAGAGCTTCCTCAAAAGCAGTTCAGGGCCCGGGGGCAACCAATGTCAAAAACACTCGACTTTGGAAACACACAACCTAGATCCTTTTTTAACAAGGGAAGGCTCACTGCCAAGGTTCTTGGTACATAAGTCAACTATGATCAGCAGGATAGTGGATAAAAACTGGGGCTCTCATTCGTGTTCATAACCTCTGAAAACCTAATTTTATTTTGCAATTCTTATTGTCCATACTGTGTTCCGAAATACAAAGTGCTGAAGTTTTAGAAACTATTTTCTACATTTAATATATCTAAAAATCTTTAATACAAACAAGAGTCCACAGAAAACCATAAGTAACTAATTTTTTTTTCATTTCCATATTACAGAAGGAATGCATGTTTTTAGATTAAAAAGATTGTCTTTGCTTAGCACACTTTTGTGCTGACCTTCAAAAATAGACTACTCGTGAAAATATTAAAAATATGATACTCACACTCCACCAATGACACGAATTGATCCAATTCTGTGAAAATCTCCATCATTTTTCAAAAAATTAGGAACAGAATCTATATGTTCACTAAACTCTTTAGCCTGTCCATGGAAGTGAGGTTTTTCATAAATAATAACCTGAAAAATTATTTAACATGTTTATATTTTAGTACATATATATATACACTTAAGTTGACACCAAAGACAACAAAATGTACAGTGACTACTATTTCTTTAATTGATACAAGGATATTTCAAAAAGTTTATGGAAAAGGTGTATTATAAAAAACTATGCATGGATTGCAAACTTTCATGCACCAAAATCAACTCCTACTAACTTGTTATAACACATCTGAACAGGACCTAGTTTAAGTTACTAAGAAGAATAAAACATTGGTTTGAAAAAAGCACCTATAAGAGCAATACAAATTCTGCTAAAATTGAAGCAAGAATAAACAAATTTCTGGTGAAGCTTGGGTAGAAGAATGATGAAATCATTGATGATTTATAAAAAGTTTATGGAGACAATACCCCAAGGAAATCAGAAGTGTACACATAGATAACTAATTTAAGAAGGGACGAGATGATGTCGAAGATGAAGCATGAATCAGCAGACCATCCATGTCAATTTGAGAGGAAAAAATTGATCTTGTTTGCACCCTAATTGAAAAGGACTGATGATTAACAGCAGCAACAATAGCCAACACCACAGGTATCTCAGCTGGTTCAGCCTGCACAATTTCAACTGAAACATTAAAGCTGGGCAACCTTTCCACTCTATAGGTGCCAAGACTATTATGCTGCAATCAGCTGCAAACAAGAGCAGGGCTTTCAAATGAAAATTTAAACAAGTGCGATAAAGATCCTGAAGCACTTCTTCAAAGAATTATAGCAAGAGATGAAACATGGCTTTACCAGTAGGCCCCTGAAAACACAGCACAATGAAAGCAATGGCTGCCAAGAGGTGGCAGTGATGCAGTCAAAGCGAAAGCAGACCAACGGCAGAAGTTGTGGCAACAGTCTTTTGGGATGCTCAAGGCATTTTGCTTGTTGGTTTTCTGGATGGCCAAAGAACAACATCTGTTTATTATGAAAGTGTTTTTAAAAAGCCAAAGCTTTAGCAGAAAAAAACCCAGGGACGCTTCACCAAAGAGTCATTCTCTGCTACAGCGATGCTCCTGTTCATTTCTCTCCTCAAACAAGGGCAATTTTCCAACAGTTCCCATTCAAAATCATTAGGCATCCACCCTACACTCCTGAACTACCTCCTGCAGGCTTTTATCCCCTAATCTTAACAAAAACTCTAAAGGGAACCCATTTTCCTTCAGTTAATAACGTAAAAAAGACTGCGTTGACATAGTTAATTCTCAAGACCCTCAGTGCTTTAGGGATGGACTAAACAGCTGGTATTATTGCTTATGAAAGTGTCTTGATGATGAAGCTTATGATGAAAAATAAGGTCTATATTTATTTTTATATTTTAATTCCATTTTTTCCATGAACTTCCCCTCATATATATTTACAGTATAGCTGAATGTTGAATATTCACAAGGAATATGTGAGACTTTATCATCATAAAGGTAAAATATCTTAGTTAATAATAAGTTTCTCTCATATTATAATAATATACTTGAGTGTGATTACATTATTTTGGTCACCCAAATACTAGGACCATCTCACAGGTAAACTGCCTTATAACTGATTCTTGAATTATCTTTGTAAGTATATCCCTGTGTTTGGAATTTAATACAGACCTTCCTTCTACATACTGAAGTTCCTCTAAAGAACTCTCTTGAGATTCCAGGGCATAACAATAAATTATCTATTGACTTTTCAGAATACATTCTGTTTCTTACAACATTAACTGCTTCTATAGTCTGCTATTCATTTAGAAGAAACAGAAATGCAAATTCTGGAATTAAAATATAAACCTTCCTAAAAAATAAGAAATTATTGAGATATATTATTTCTAGAGATTGGGTATTTGATTTAAACCGAGGGGATGCAATACGTATTGTCAGAAACTAATTTCTGGCATTTAATTAATACTTCAAATTTGGATTGGAATATTATTTCTCTTACTATTTCGCTGCTTTTTTTAACTCCTCAAATACCAGCTGCATTAAGTATGTGGAAGTGATAACAGCATTTATCTATCCACATTCTCTCACTTGCTCCTATTTGTGGGTAATAGAATAATTTGTGCACAAATGCCAACTCAATATCTTGGCAAATAAGACCCCATGCTTAAAAACACTAAACCAAAAAGAGTATAGCTTCCTTACGACGAAAAACTGATGATATCAGGGAAACAGTATATAGTACGGACCCGGCACTTGTCCGCATGGTAGGTTTGCAACAGGGTACTGTATTTGAAATGACAAAGTTTTATCTGGGTTTAATACATGTTGCATATGCTGACCACATTCAAACTCAGTAAGAAATAAAAATTCTTTGGTGAGTAAGCCACAAATTAGTATCAAACAACTTGTAAATTCTGATTAACCATCCATTCATATACACCTAGAACCAGTCAAACTGCACATGTCCAAGGAAGATCTGGCCTGTCAGCACTGAAGTTCTGATTCACCAGACTAGGAAACTGACACAGAAGGCATTCAGACAGCATCACAGCTAATTCTGTATCTTTTATGGCTTGCAACCTTGACTGCAAATAAAACCACCTAGGACTCTTTGGAAATTGTTGACCACAGCCCAAACTAATATAGTATCTCTGGGAGTGCAGCTCAGGCTTAAGGCTTTTTAAAAATTCCAATATATATAATTCCACCATACAAAGTATATTAGATACGCTCAGATACAGAAGTTTTAAAAGACTCCATCCATGTGGCTGAGAGAACGGAAGTCAGCTCCATAAATTAGAAAGCCCAGAGATGGGAGAGTTGAAGGCGTTGTGTCTTACGTTAGAGAAGAGGAAGACAAATGAATCCCCGCTTCCATACTTGCCTCTGGAGGTTCTGTAACCTAACTACAAGGACGCCTGTTTGCATCTTTTATCACGGCACCGGTATTCCTTTTCTCTCTCTCTACATATATTTTGTAATTCTGCTTCCTCCTTTCCTTCCCCAGATGTGCTTGATCCTGGCGCCACTGCCAGCATTTTCACTGCCTCGCCTGTACTCTTCCCTTTGAATACTTATACTTACAAACTGCCATCTATCTGATGAGAGCTACCTACACCTCCTTTTGATCAGCATTGATCACCTTCCTGAGCATCACTCCCAAATGCCTGCTAGATATGTCCACTTGAATAACTAGCTGCTATCTCAAGTCCCCTCCCCTTAAACAAAAGTCAAACCTATCACCTTTCCACCCTGTAGCAGACATCCAGTGAGTCTGACTGATTTGTTGGTACAGACCTCCAACTTTGCAGACTGATCCTACTCTCCATTCATAGCCATAGGGTGGGTCCTCAGCAAACATTTTGTGCATTCACTTCCCACCACCCCAAAATCCATTAGCTAAGTATTATCACATGTGGAGGTACTTTTTATTCCAATAATTCAAAATACTTAAATATTAACACTGAGACTCTTTAGCATGCTACAAAAATCAGTTCAAGACTTACCTTTAAGTTCATGGGCATTTCCACTTTCAGTCCACCCTAATGACAAGATAGTTTAATATTAGACAGGTAAATATTTAAGATATTTGAATGTAATATCTGAAAGTGATACATGTAGGCTATATAAAAATGTAATCAAGGAAGATTACACACCCGTGAAATTTAAGTTGTGGTAAATTTTAAATACAGAACTCTATAGTAGGCAAAACCAAGTTATACTGTTCCTTGTCAATGTAGATGGGGCAAGAAATCTTAAGGAGACACTTTCCAGATTACAACTACTGCTGTTTGCTTTAGTCCTTGAGTACACTTGACCAATTAAGATTTAATCCCACTTCACAGTGTCCCACAAAGAAGACTGGTGTTGCTAGTAAACTCAGAAATCTCATTCAGCGGAGTAGATTTCTTAGCCAGCTAATCCAAAGGTTTTCCCTACAGTTATTTGGGCTTCCTAAATTAGAACACTAGCTAACCACACTAACCCTTCTAAGTTCTACCAACTCTTTTTATCATATGCACTGTCTTTGTGATCTCAAGGTTGTAAGGCATAAAAAGTCACGATTTCCTTACAAAAACCCTAATTCTATAGTTTTTTGTTTGTTTGTTTCTAGTCCTACTCTACATTGTGATATTTCTTAAAATGTTTCAGTTTGTCCTAGTGGCTATGTTTATAAAAGGCATGGACTAATCAAAAATGGTTTATCACATAGCCAATGTTTAACCGAACAGTTTGTCACTCAAATAAATGTTTGCAACAAAAAAGAAATACTGTAAATACTGAAGGCACTACAGTATAATAATAGTTTGCCAATTCAGTAGTACACACATTTACTTCTTGAAACTGAGATGCATGAGCAACCATCATGGTTATTTTTGATTCATGGGTGCTTGGGAAAAGGAATACTTTTTTTTAAATTTGCTTACCATCTGAAGCGGATGTAATGATTTCATTTCTGCTGTAGAAATCTCAAAGAGCCCATGGTCTTCCTCCAGAACTGTAGCTTGCCCCTTAAAATTAATATCTGGGTAGGCAAGCCAACTATATAAAAAATAGATAGTTAAAGTGTAATAGTACTGCTTTAGTTTGGGTTCTGTAAGTTAAAAGGGCTACCACAAAAAAAAAACAAAAAACCTCTCCATCACAGAATTACACTAGTAAAACACACTCAAAGTGAGAGCCAGACATTATATAATGATAACAGCCACCATGTTATTAAGTATTTATATTCACATATTATCTATAAGTCTAATATGTTTTCCAATCATTAGGCATTACTTTTCTTATAATTTTCCAATACCTAAAACATGTGGCACCTTTAATTCAAGTGGAAAATAATTAGAAAACCTAAACCAATTTCACTATATTCCATTTTTTTTAAACTGGAACAATCACAGGTAGAGATTCCACAAGATATTTTACATTGTGACCCAATTTTTTAGAATCAATATCAGTTCTACTGGCTGTCTAAGGAAGATTATTTGCAGTAAGATTCCCTAAAGACCAATATTCTAGCCAAGCTTGATAATTGCAGACATTTCTCATGGATAGGACCAATTACCAGCCTACCCAAGGGTTCTTTTTTTATTATTGTTGAGATGGAGTTTCACTTTTGTTGCCTAGGCTGGGGTGCACATGGTGTGATACTGGCTCACTACAACCTCCACCTCCTCAGTTCAAGAGATTTTCTTGCCTCACTCTCCCAAGTAGCTGGGATTACAGGCGTGCATCACCATGCCCAACTTGTTATTGTTGTATTTTTTTTTTTAGTAGAGACGGGGTTTCTCCATGTTGGTCAGGCTGGTCTCGAACTCCCAACCTCAGGTGATCCACCTGTCTCGGCCTCCCAAAGTTTTGGAATTACAGGCATGAACCACCCAAGAGTTCTAATTCACATGTAGGGGAGACAAAAAAGTTGTCCTACAGTGACCCCAAAATTGTATATCAACCAACATCAGAGTAAACAAAAAGAGTGAGAGAACGGAGGGCTCCATGTTGAGCCAGATGTCCACAGGCTTTGGAGTCGAGTCAATCTGGGAATGAACTAAGGCTGAACTTAGGCCCATGGTCCTACAGATACCTCTGGAACTAGAGAGGCCTAATATCAAGTCCATGCTTACCAGCTACTAGCCTGGGACAAATCACTCATCTGTGAGAGTAACACCATCTGCCTTGCAGGAATAGAGGAGTCATAAACAAAAAAAAAGCCGTATGTGCTTGATACCACAGAGGCATTCAGTGACTATTAGAATGCAGATACTCTAGAAATAGTTCAGGCTCCAGAACGTCAGGCCAGGGACATGCTTTTATTTCTCAATCACAGGATTTGTTGGATGAAATGACAGCGGATCCATATATCAAGAAGTATATCTCAGAATTCTATACCTGCTACTGTGAATCACATATCAAAGCTCTAATTAGATTCAAAGAAATAATCTTTTAACGCCTGCAATAGTCTTTCTTGGGTAGCTGAGAGTATAAGCAACATTAACCAGAAACTTTAGAAATATATACGTCATCTACTGAAATATGAAACAAAAAGTTAACTTTGGTAGCCACCAGTCACTATAATAAAAAGGAACTGATACACACACTCCTGACTTCACAGTGAAGGTCACAGATCTGGACAGATTCAGTTCTTCCAAATTGGGGACTGCTCTCTGTACGTAGATAGGACAACAGGCTGGGTCCGACTGTGGGCAAATCTCTATCTCTGGAATGCTGCAGTCCTGAAAAAAAATAATTTGGCTTTGAAATCATAAACGGACACACAGTCTAGTCTTCTGAATGCCCTGGACATACAGTTACATTATTCTCATTATTGAGTTGAATTTCTTCATAAAGAAAACAAAGGAAATATTGTTTTTCTCACACTTTTTTTTAAAAAAATAAGTTCTTCTAGTTATGTTGATAACATGAAAATTATAAATTTTATGGAAAAATTATTGTCCCAATTTTTCTGCTTTGGTTTTTACATATTTGTTCTATTGAGCAATGCTTAGAGTTACCAAACTATCTGAGTTCAGAGTTACCAAACTATTTGAGTGCCAAATATCTGTAAGCCTTCCTTCTTAGAAGTATAACAAAGACATAAGGAAAGGAGAGAGTTAAATAAAAGGTGATCTCATGGGGGATATAAAAAAAAATCAGTAGAGAGGCACTACCCTCTTCAGTGTTTATCTAATTTACATTGACAAAAGAAATAGTAATTAGAGGTGAGGGTAAAGGAAATCTGTTTTCCTCCCTGTAGGACTCCATTTCCTATTGTTAGTAGGTTTGAAGAAGAAAAGCATTATGAAATTGACCCTTTACTCCATCACAGTCTTAAAAAATGACGCACCCATTGTCCTGTGAGATCTTCCTTTAAAATTTCCCTTGTGCAGATCTCTTCTTACATATGTCCACTGTTGCAGCTCTTGGTTAGACCCAAACTTTGATTACAGGCCTACTTACAACCGCCAGTCAAACACTAGCGACTACTCTTTAGACAGCTTAGCTTGTTAGAATATCACTTTTCTCATGAAACTCATTGGCTTCAGAACCAAGCACATCGAATTCATGTTTCTGTTTGTCCTTCCATAACAGGGCACCAAACTAGTGATCCACACTGACTTCCTACAGCGCTGCAGTCATGTTGGTCTCCATGCTATCCCCACTTCCACTCCAGCCTCTGTAAACTTTGCAGAAGTGTCCCCATCTCAACTAAAGAAAGAATTCTTTGTATTCTTACTTTCAAAAATCTCTCCTAATAGTCAAGTTTTAACTCAAAAAAAGACCTCATCCTTTCTTAGGGAATCAAAATTACAATTATTTTTTCCCTTCTCTGAAATTACAGATACACTTCTATCTGAACACACTATCTCAATACTCATGACTGTTTAAGGATACAACTCAGGTTTTAGTAATTATCCCCTATGATGCGTGAGATTCCAATGCATATGCTTTAATAAAATAGGAAAATGTAATAATGGAGGTGGCATTTATAAAAGACTGAACAATTCTATTTAAGTTTTGCAATTCTAAAAGTATAATATTCTGATTTTTCAACCTTTCCCCAAACTGAATTCTTAATCATTCTTATTAATATACAAAAACAAATGAGTTCATACATCTTGTTTATAGGAAATTGGTTCTAAAATGCAAAATACTAAAGAAGCATAATCTAAAATATCCTTTAAAGTATAAAAGTATGCTTTGTGCTAAAGTTTCATTTCAAAAATAAGCAGAAATGTCTAGAACAGTCACCTGTCAATCCTTAAGGCTCTTTTGTATGCTATTAATAAGAGTTCTAGTAACATTATTTCAAATACTGCCATATTAATGTTCCCCCAGGGATCTGAGTTACAGTAACAAAATACATAACTAACTGTCTCACACAAACAAGTTTCCTCTGCATTGTGTTGTACAAACAATGTTTGGGTGGTGTACTCTAAAAAGGGAAAAGCTAAGGAGCATTCAAGTCTACAACCACACAGATGGAAACAGCATAATAGCAACAGTTTAGTGATCACTAAACATGAAAATAAACAAAAATGAGAGGGCATATGTTCTCAGTTATCTTTACTAGAAACCTAATTTTTGCTCTAGTTGACTGAAAAAGATTTCACTGTTAAGTTCTATGTTGACAGTGGCTATTCACAGAAATAGCATGCTTTGCAAAACGTAAGTATAATTCTTGATGGACAAAGAAAGTCAAATACCAGCAACTGAAGGGCACTTTATAGTAATGTGGCAACAATAAACGATTTAAGTTTATATGGCTTCCTTGCTTACTTTTGTAGTCCTGCTACACTTTCCAAATATATTAATGAAATTTACAAACTTATACTATTATGGCAACTAGTAAGAATAAACACAGTTTTATAGTTATAGTTAACAAAATTACACTTCACAAACACAGTAAGAAAATCTATTTGTTTCTACCTTACATAAGATACCTCAGTCCTGGATCTAACAACAGATCTTGCCATAAGAAAAATGTCATATCCTTAAAAAAAAATTTTAAATACACAGTAAACATAGTAATTTGCAGTATTCATTTATTCTAATTTTATAAAAGAAAGCATTTGAATCAAGATTACCCACACTACTGCCTTCACCCCCAAATTATTTTCCCTGGGGACAAAGACAACCCTTAACTGGAATCTACAATTACTGATAACTAAAGGAATCTGCTATATCTGTTTACAGCAAAGTGAAGACATCACCAAAGAATTATCTTTAAAGGACATTAAAGTCCTGTCCACACCGATGAAAGCGACTAATCTAAAGATGATTTCAACAAGGTATAGTTGGCATAGGATAGGCGGAAGTGAATCCAGCACGGAAACAGCCATCTTTTACGAAGCGGCGACAGGCAGCATTTTGACAACACTGGAAAAAGGAAGCAGTTTGATGGCTAATTATTACTTTGTAAAATATTTAAAACAATGCTTATGCCTCTTCCATTCAATGCTCAATAGTTTTATTTTCCTTCCTCACTAACGGCTGTTAACCTGTTGACGCATGGGCACTAACACTACAACTAAAAATAGTGATTCTGAGAACAAACACTGGAAGAGGGAGAAGTACAAGCCTGACTTGCTCTTTCTTATAATATATTCTAAGCAAATGGTGGACGTGCAAATATCCATTCAAATATCTATGCTCACCAGATTGAATCTGTTTGATTTTATTGTTTGATTTTAGCGGGGGTTGAGAAAGGGGGCTGTTTGCCATATATTACTCATTTTTTTTTTCCCACTAGGCCTTGGCATGATGCCTGATTCCATAAAGAAGGTACAAAACCACAAGTTATATAAATCTTAGAAGAGTCCAATTACGAACTAACTAGTCATTTGTTTTTTTCAATTTTCTACTGAGTTAATCGAGTGAAAACTCAAATTGTTATCTGCAGAACTGAACTGACTGCAGTTAAATCTTTTAATAAAACGGACAGTGCTCTCTCCACTTCAGCCATCTTCATCTCCTTGCAGTACCCTAGGCCACCAAAGCTCACCCCTGCATCTGACAAAACTGGCTCTGCCAGGAACTCCCTCATATCTCCCAGACTGCCTAACCCCTGTCTGTCCTTACAAGATGCTAATCAGGTGTCACCTCCTCCAGGTAACATCTCTTCCCAAAAGGTGAATTCCTTCTTCTGTGGGCCCAGAGGGCCCTGGAGAACATTTCTCACATCATATAATCATGTGACTCAGCTGCTCTCCCCCAGTCTTCAAGCAACCTGAAGTAAGGAACCATATCTCACTTGTATTTCTGTTCCCTGTGCACACCACAATATTGGCTCAAAAGCAGACACAAATATTTGTTAAATATAGGTGTGTTTACAGTTTTGCAGACAGTATTGATGAACATAAAATACATGCAGACACCTTTTATGAAAACTTGAGTTTTTCTATAGGGTATATTTAATTTCTTTGAATGCTATAAGCCACTATCAAGAGTTTAATAATAATCCAAATCATCATGATGGTGTTCATCTGTTTATTGTTTCATATATATAAATTAAATCTCCATAACTTGAAAACAACATATAACCATGACTGTCACATGAGTAACTGTACTGTATCACCTATTGTGTTACTGTTGAAGGAAATCTTAAAAATACACGTGAGGAGAATTCTGTCCTTATCTGAGATGTTCTTCTCACTAATTAACCTCTCCTCTATACTACCACAGAACTTCTTACAAAACATTTTATTATATTGGAAGACCTTTCTCATCTTAGTATTAATATTTTCTAAACAGAAAAATAAGAAACAATACCTTCCCTTCCTATTCTAATCCTCCCTTGTCTTATTTCCTCTAACACACACACATGCATGCACACACATGCCTATACTAAGCAGTAGCAATCTATACTCGAAAAAGATATATCTGGAAATAATGGCTCTAAGGTTCCCGAATAGCATACTCCGACTTAGGAACAGTGTATACTAATTAGGAGTATTCTAGAATACCATGCTATTATTATTATTATTGAAACAGTCTTGCTCTGTCACCCAGGCTGGAGTCCAGTGGCATGATCTTGGCTTACTGCAACCTCTGCATCCCTGGTTCAAGCGATTCTTCTGCCTCAGCCTCTGGAGTAGCTGGGATTACATACCCAGCTAATTTTTGTATTTTTAGTAGAAACAGGGTTTCACCATGTTGGCCGGGCTGGTCTCAAACTCCTGACCTCAAGTGTTCCACCCACCTCAACCTCCCAAAGTGCTGGGATTACAGGTGTGAGCCACAGCGCCTGGCCAATACTATACTATTACATACTACTATAGCAAGAGTGTTACAGTAGGAGTGGCGTTATACTATTATAGTAAGGTATTATAATAGTAGGAATATACTATTCCTATTAGCATATTTTAATAGCAATAGTATACTCCTATTAAAATATACATATCATGCATTATGCAACATTTTATATATATATATATATATATATATTTTTTTTTTTTTTTTTTTTTTTTTGAGACCAAGTCTCATTCTGTTGCCCAGGCTGGAGGCTGGAGTGCAGTGGCACGATCTTAGCTCACTGCAACCTCCACCTTCTGGGTCCAAGCAATTCTTGTGCCTCAGCCTCCTGAGTAGCTGGGATTACAGACATGCACCACCACACCCGGCTAATTTTTGTATTTTTACTAGAGACAGGGTTTCACAATGTTGGCCAGAATGGTCCTGGGCTCCGGACCTTAGGTGCTGGGATTACAGGCATGAGCAACCACACCTGGCCCATGTAACATTTTATAAACTAGATTACCTCTGGTTAATATTTTTAATTACCATTCACTCTACGTGCATAAATTCAAAAGATTATCAATACGATAATGAAGATTAATAACGGCACAAAAATTAGCAATCATTTGTAAACATTGCCAGGCCACAGCATAGCTTTATTATATGACAAATAAAATCAAATAAAAAATAGGAGAAAAATCTACAGTTGTTACCTTTAAGACTCGTTTGATAGAACCCAATACAAAGTTTCTTTGCGGATGCCTTCTGTTCTGAAGAATCCAGTCACGATTTAACACTTTTTCCCCTTCTTCTAGCACACATTTCTGACCTCGGAAATGTGGTTTCTCATATAAAATCCAGCTAAACAAAGAGCAATGCAATGATAAGTTATATTTAATTTTCTAAGAAATAAGGCATAAAATAAATGATACTTGGGGTAAGTCACAGACCATTTTACCTACTTAAATTTTTAAAGCTGGGATATCTTCCATTATTAGCATATAACCCTATTTTTTGAAACAATATATGCTAATTTAAGTATGGGTGAATAGTAAAGAAAAAATAAGAGTGCATATACCTTGGAAATATAAATATTTTCTGAACATAGTACCACAATATATTTCTATGTCTCTATTTATGTAAGCAAGTTCTTTATAGATGTGGTCTATATAAAACTATACAGCTGTATTAAAAACAATAGGGCAACAATTCCAAATTACACTTCTAATTCTCCTGTTGCTGAATAACACAGGACACATGTCCCATTTTGTTATATTAAGACGAGATTACACCATATGATTTAGTACATGAATACTGACCTGGGTAGCATAAACGCTAGATAGATAAATTCTAGCTCCAGCATGTCCATGGGACATGGTCCTTAATAAATAAATGAGGTTAGCCCTCATTCTCAGACCATACAAAGATTCCTTCACTTCTTGACCAAGGCAGCTATACAAACAACTTTAACTATGTGGCCTTCACATTCCTCAGCATCCCACAAATTCTCAACTCATTTTCAAAGCTACGCTTCATTCAACTGAAGCGTTCAACCAAACTTGCCAAATCTATTCTGCTAATAATGCAGTTACAGAATGGCATTGATTGTATAGATTAGGTCTTGTAACTTACTGCTGGCTTAAGCACTAAAAAAAGGCTGTATTTTCTGCCACAGTAAATAAAGAGAACAATTACGTTATAACAGAATAATAATGTTTTAAAACATTCAGTCAAAAAGTAGAGGAAGGAGAATACGACTTTAATAAAAAATACAAAAGAAAAGCATGAACAGGAAGAAGACACATTTAATTTCAGAAAACGTGCTATAAAATTTTAAGAGACTTCTTACCAGCCCCTTACAACTTTTATTAGAACTCCATTTGGAAAAGACCATGATGTAGCATCGGGAATATTACAGTAGACTTCTTGTTTATATTTACTTTCATGGAGATCATAGATAACCATCTGCAACACAGTAAATAGCAGTAAGTAGCTACAATAATTAATTTTTAGAAAGTATTTTAAATTCTAAAATGTCCTAGAACATAGAAACAAGTATCTTAAATATATAAAAGCAAGGGTTACTTTAGATGTTAAATCCTCAAATAAAATCATTTTCTAAGTCACTTAACAGTATATTAGGCCAGGCGTGGTGGCTCATGCCTGTAATCCCAGCACTTTGGGAGGCCAAGGTGGGCAGATCACAAGGTCAGGAGACAGAGGCCATTCTGGCTAACACCATGAAACCCTGTCCTACTAAAAATATAAAAAAATTAGCCAGGTGTGGCGGGGCGCGCCTGTAGTCCCAGCTACTTGGGGGGCTGAGGCAGGAGAATTACTTTGAACCTGGGAGGCAGAGGTTGCAGTGAGCTGGGACTGCACCACTGCACTGAAGCTTGGGCGACAGAGCAAGACTCCATCTCAAAAAAAAAAAAAAAGTATTTATATTAAATTCCTCAAGTCTAAAAGTTACCTAATCTTTATCTTAGTTTGAGAAAATTATGCTTACCTTCCCAGGTCTTGGGTTACATCTCAGAGTTTGTTTGTCAACATTCTGAAATAATAGAAGTGGAAAAGTAAGCTTTTAGAAACATTGGTGAAAAGATGAATAATTCATTTTCTTCACAGTCACGTATGTAATTTATCACATATTTACTTAGTGACCATTACAAGTGAAGTGCTTCTCTAGACACAAGGGATATAAATACAGATATATAGGAAATTAACATGTTGTCTCTGCCCTCAAGAAGCGCACAGCTTAGAACAGGTAAACAGATAATCACTTATATATATATATATAACTCTTCTAAGCAGGGGGACTAAGTTAAATCCACAGGTAAAATACAAGGAAAACACGAGGTTATGGAAATGGCACCAGCATGGAAGTGAGGGCACAGAGAGGTTCGAAGAGGCTTTTCTGAGGAAGTGGTATTAAGAGATCTTGAAAAACAACATTTCACTGAGGGAAAATGTGGCAGGTTGCGACGGGATAGTGAAGAAAGAAATTGTAGGAACAGAACCATACTGGGGAAAAGTATATTGGTAGGAAACACAGAGCGTGTACCCAGTGTGGGGAGACAAGGTTGGCCAAAACAGTATTTGGGGGCCTTATAATGCAGAGTTAAATCACTTTCCACTTGATTTGGTAGGCAGTGGAGAACCATGAAAGAAACATGTCTTCAAATCCCATCATTCCTTTGAAAATGACTTTGCTTTGCAAGGTTTGGTTGGCCTTCAAGTATTACTGTTTGCCATGAAGTCTGTTTAAGGTAAAAACACAGGCCTTGGACATCCTGTATCTTTATCTTGAAAGTACCATGATCTTGGGAATGCCAGAAAGGAAAGTCCCATATATTTAATAAATATTCTACATTGAACATTTAAATATTTCTAAATAAAAGAAAAATGTAATTGAATTTCAAAACATTTTGAATTTCAGCTATAACGTTTTCAGCTCTTTTTGTTTGATTTAGGCTGCTCGCTGACCTGCCTTGCATGAACAACAATGCGAGTTGTTGTAGTGAGAGGCTGCTGTCAAATACTTAAAAATTTCACTCAACAGAAAGATTTTTCATGAGACTAATAAGCTAAATGCAAAGTGACAATTTTCCCACATATAGTACCTTGAGAAATTTATGATGCTGTCATCTAATTTAGTTTGAAAAATATTAGTGAAAGACTTCAAAATAACCTTTCTCCATTATTATGCTTTTTAAATTCTGACCACGCAATTTTGTTTTCTAAATAGTCCAGTTAAAATACATGAGTTCTGATGTATTTCAACCAAAGAATAAATCTGATACATTTATGAAACAAACTTTATACAACCTCTATAACCTCAAAACACTGACTTTCTTAATAAGCCTTTAGATAACGTCATGATTCAAAGCTTTAATCATTATTAATAAACAAAATAACTTACCTCTATGAATGGGCTCGATCTGCCTGGATTGTCTTGAACACGGAAATGCTTTGACACTGGTTCCTGAAAAATCCCACCAAATCTGGCTCCTTTTTCTGAGGAAGTCTGCAGATACTGATGATAAGCACTCTTTAAAGAAGAATGCAATTTAGAAGTAAGGTCAGATTTCTGAAGAAATGAGGTCTTTTCTGGCCACAGACCAACTTGCAGATTGGAGGTAGTAGGTTCATTTGGCATCACATATGAATTTTTAGAAATTCGAATGCTTTCCTGGTCATCAGGGTAAAATGTGATGGAAGGATCTGGCAACTGGAAGGTAACATGCTCTCTCCTTCCCGCCCTCAAATCTCCTTTATCCAATGCTGCTGCTTCCTCCTCTTCCTCCTCCTCAGCTGCCTCTCTGTCACCTTCGTCAAAATTCATCTTTAAACGCTCCGACACTGACTGGAGAAGTGATAACACAGACGAGGACTGGTTTTCACTCTCTCTTGATTTCCTGGGGCCATGGTGACCAGGGGAAACGTCACTGGAGAGAATGTCCTCCTGTGAACTGTCATCCTCATAGATGGGAGACAAAGCTAAAGGATAAATTTTGTACCTTTTGGCCTCCACTGATAAGAACATTTCTGAACTATCGCTATCAAATGTCTCACCTAATTTAGTACCTTTTTCAAAGTGATGCACAAGGTCAGTTCTACTCTCAGACCTTTCACATGCCAGAACAGGGATGCTGTCAGGGGATGCATCAGGAAACAAGACAGGCTGTGTTCGTCTCGCTTCTGTGGAAGCATACGTGTCCTCCTCTTGAAGGGGCTCTTCGTATAATATGGTAAAGGAAGAATTTTCTTGCTCATCTTGAGAAACAAAAGCTAAATTATATTTTTCACCACTATAATCTGGCTCTCTCCTCTTGTCATATATTCCAGTAAGAGATATTCTTTTGTCTAGACTTCCTATGGTATCCCCAGGTTGAAAATCTGGCATTGGTGGGGCTGGGTAGCCCTCATAATCCTTACTTAATGTAGGTGATTCATATCCCCTGAAATGTGAAGCAAGTCTATTTTCATGTGCTATCAAGCCTTCTTTTACTTCAGTAGGCTCTTCCTTTGTTTCTCCAACACTCCCTTCTGCATACTCTTCTGGTGTTTTACTTTCAAATGCAGGAGGCATGGCCTCCACTTGTGTAATGCTCAATCCTAGTCTTCCATGAATTTTCTCAATGTCTACCACTGTGGGTAACACTTTGTGTTTCTCAGTATTCTCACCACCATCTTCTGGGGATGCTTTTTCCATTTCTATCCCAGAGGGTATGGACACAGTTGCTCCAATAGTCTCTTTAACATCTCTCTTGCATGTTTTTTCCATTTCTAAGGGGACAGGTGTTAAGTTGTGTGCTTCCTTCACTTTTAACACACACGGTACTAGTTCAGTATTCTTAACCACCTCTTCAGCAGTCTTTGGATATGTAGCTTCTGTTTCCAATGTAGGTCTCTCAGTGTTACTGGTAATCCCTTTGGCGTTTTTTTGGTAAGTATTTGCTACTTCTAATGCAATGGGCATTTCTAACCCTGCAGGCATCACTTCAGCCTGTGCAATATCCCCTTCGGCATCCCTTTGGCAAGCATTTTCTACTGCTAACGTAAGGGTTATCACTTCAGCCTTTTCACTAATCCCTTCACCATCTTTTTGGTAGACATTTTCCATTTCAGACATGGACACCACCCCAGTCTTGCCAATATCCCCTTCAGCATGCGTTTGGTAAATATTTTCCACGTCTATTGTAACAGGTGTCACCTCAGTCTTTACAATATCACCTTCAGCATCCTTTTGGTGGATATGTTTCACGTCTGGCATAATAGGTATCACCTCAATTTTGCCAACATCCCCTTCAGTATCCTTCATCTTATAAGCTTTCTCCTTTCCTAAAATGACAGGTGATCCCTCCGTTTTTTCAATATGCCTCTCTGCATCCATTTGGTATACTTCTCCCATTTTAAAAACATTAGCTTTTGGCTCAGTTTTCGTGACATGCAATTCAGCATCCATTTTATGCGTTCTTCCCATTTCTAACATAGGAGGGACTGCCTCATGTTTCACAATATTCAATTCAGCATCCTTTTTGTTTGTTTTCCCCGTTTCTAACATGGACGGTATAAGCTCAATTTTCCCCATATTTATTTCATTATCCTTCTTGTGTATTTTCCCTACTTCTGACGTTGCAAGGGGTGTGTTTTTACTGTGTCCTGGCAAGTTTTTTTCAGATATACATACAAGGCTATCAGACAAACTGCTTTTAGATGTACCAGGTGCATGGATGTCGTCATTCACAAGCGGAGGCCATTTGAAATTTAATACAAGAGATCTTCCATCCTCTGTCGCAGCTTCGTTATCCACATACTCTCCTTCCATTGTCTCATCATAGTCCTCGCTGCAAAATAAATGTGTTTTTACCCCATCATCTAACTGTTCATGTGACATGTCTTCAGCTAGTAAAACCGTATCTGATTCCTGCAAATTTATACTATCAGACAGTCCAGCTACATTTCCAGAAAATGGGGATTTTTGGTAAAGAACAATTTCTCTTCCCTTAATTGGCTCTGTGTCACTAGCTAAGTTACTTATGGAGAAGAATTTACTTAATACTTTATTTTCACTAATGTGTGTGCTTTGATTTACTGGCTGTTCTGATACCAAGAACTCTCTAACTACATCATGTGGCTTAACACTACCACTGTTCAGAATTTGTGGAGTATCAGCCTGAAGTTCAGAATCCCAAGTATCCTCAGTATCTTCAAAAGCATCATTTCTCAATTTTTCTTGAGCTACATAAATAATCTCATTAACTAATTCCCTAGCTTTATCTTCTAACAAACAAGATACATTCATACTATCAGGATCAACAAGAAGACTCTTCTCACCAACTGTCGGTGAAACACAGGGCTTCTCTTCGACTTCTGACTTGTTTTCCAAACCCTGCTCTTCCAAACCCTCTGTCTGTTGGATCTCTGTTAGTGTCACTTCTGATGGGTTTTTCTCAGAGATGTCTTCTTTCAGGGTATCCAGATTCATTATACCTTCTATGGCTATATGCTCCTGGCAGGTACTCACTGTGTGTTTAAATATTAGTTCTTCCCTGACAGAATTAAAAATCTCATCAATCAACGTATTGGCGTTTTTGAGTAAACCACTTTCGATATCTGAAAGTTGGTCACGTGCTCTTCTCCTGGCTTCTGTGTGCTCAGTGGAGGCTTCGGAACACTGTTGGTCTGAGCTGTTAACTGACGCTGCAGGCCCAGCAACTGCTCCAATCTCTGCTTCCGTGGGATTGTCATATTGGGCAGTGGTTAGGAAATCAGGAGATATCTTCCCAGTATAAATCCCCAAATGTTCCTGAATAGGGGTCACTTCTGCCCAAATTGAGATAGGTGCTTCAAATTCCAAATGAGCAGAGTTAGGTGCTTCAAATTCCAAATGAGCAGAGTTAGGGTACAACAGGTTAGTTAAGGAGGTACCTTCATGTGTGAGATCTTTGGTAACTTGTATAGAATCAAAATTACTTTGTGGCTTATGTGAATTTATTATGCTAACTTCTTCAGGGTAACTAGAGGAAGATGACAGACTATCAATACCACCATTTAAAAAATGAATGTTCTCTTTATTTCTGTAAGATGAGGATTTCTTTTCTGATCTCAGCTCAGAAGGTACATTAAGAAAGCTTGAGTCCTCAGATGCAGAAACATTTTTTTCCAAGCTGGTATCATAATCGAGAAAAGGTGAATTAACTTTTGTGCTGCCAGTTTCTTGGAATTTAGGGGAAATATTAGTTAAGTTGAGTTCTGCCATTTCTGAGTGACCAGAAATCTTTTTAGTCCCACAAATATCCAAAGATTGATGAATCACACAAGTGCTAGCTTCGCCACTCTTTACCATCTGCCTACTGACTTTCTCATCATGAACAGGTGGTAAAATCCCAGATATATTACTTTTGAGAAGAGCAGGAGGAGAGCCTGTTTCTGTTTCGACCTCTGTTTCTGGTATATCTTCATATTTGGAGGCAGCAGGAGAAAGCTCAGCTTGGCATTTCTCTTTAAGGCCAGCATCCAAGCACTCCTCTTCAATCTCATTATGGCTAATTGATTGAAAATTTTTGTCCTGTTTAACTCCTAGAGATGTTAATTCTGATAAAATAGGCTTTTCCGGCACATGGGTAATTCTCAATAGAAAAGAAGACATTTTATCCTGAGAAATGTCTCTTGACTCTGCTTGTGAAAGAGATATTTTGGACAAGGATATAGTCTTTCCTATTCCAGAATGTGACTCAACGGGAACATTGTTCTGATCATCAATTTCAGCTTTTGATGCAATTTTGGCAATGTTATCAGTTTTGGCTTCCAAGGAAAGAGAATCAGCCTTCTCTGTTATGGTCGTATTTGCTTTTGTGTTTGAGGACATTAACTCTACTCTGTTAGGGTCTTGAGATACTTGAGATAAAATGGAACTGCAGTCCTTAGAGACGCTTCCAGAATCAAAGCTCAACAGCTGCATCCCAGTTAAGTCAGGGCCACTGGATTCAGAACTTGGAAGAACCTGGCATTTTTCACCATTAGAAAGAACTTCCTTGGATTCAAAAATTGCAGATGTATATTCAAGGCAAAAGGAAGGAGGAGGACTCTTCCTGCCTTCAGCCTCAACAGGATTTTTCACATTTTCTTCTTTACATTTATTAGGCTGATAGGAAATACCAACGATGTTGACATTCCCAGTTTCAATGGGCACAGGAGAAGCCTCACTCATTAAATCAGGAATAGCCAACTTGCTTAACATCTCATCTCCAGAAACAAAGGCAGGAGGTGAAATGTTGAAATTTAGATTTTTACAGTCAAGGCTAAGAGATGTTTTAGCATCAGGTGATACTTTGGCTTGCTGAGGACTCTTAGAGTCAAGAAGAGTTTCTGAAATGTGACTTCTATTAAGTTCAAATTTCAACTCAGGTGCATTTTTATTTCCTAAGCATGCTGCAACTGCTGATTCACTGACGTAATTTACAAAGGTGAGGTCTTTTTTATTAATTCTAGTATAAGGGATTTTATCACATGACCTAAAATCAAGCTTTTTGGCTTCAGTTTCAAAGAACTGGTCAGTATCTTTGGGTAACGACTCAATTTTATCTACTGGGGCTTTTACATGACTTGAAGCTATGGGTTCACCAGCTGAGGCACTTTCTGTTTCTCGCCTGATTTCTCTAACAGCCACATCTTTCTGTGAGTCTTGGGCAGATAATCGCTTTCCTTCACTTACAAATTCTGTGTCTGTCATAGCATGTCTCTGAAGGGCAATGACATTGGTGTGAGTGGCAGCTTGCTTTGATGAGTTATCTACGGTTTGCTTGTCAGAACATTCACTCTCTGGCAACTGCAGATCTTCATGCCTAATTGATTTATTTGGACTTGGCAAATTTGTACTTTCCTGTTCAGTAGTGTCACTCCCATCAGATTTACTACAAGAGAAATCAGAAATAGCAGGGCCCTGAGGCTCAACAAGCTCTTCTCTTTGCACCAATGACCTATTACTCATCACAGAGCTGTTTTCTTTTGTTGTATATTCTGTTGTAGTTACTCTCTGAAAATCTGGGCTGCAAGAGACTTTGCTACTGTTACTTCCTGTAAATAATGCTGAACATACCAAATTTCTGTTAGTCTGAGAAACTGGTTCACAACTTAAATGGTGCTGCGAGTCAGATTCTCCATCATAGCTGGAGCTCATCAGAGAAGGGGATGACCTATTTCTCTCAGTACCCCTCCACGCATTTTTATTCAAAAGATTATTGGAAGAGGCAACCGTCTGCAGTTCTGGGTTATTTGTCAAAGAACTGTCCGTACTGAGACTTGTTTTGCTACAATCAGAGTCTTCTAATGGGCCTTCAAGTAGATTTCCATTCATAGATGAGTCTGTACTAGCTGATGACAACACTGGCAGTATCCCAGCCTCAATCTCACGTCCAGGGTCAATGTGTGTGTTTGTACTAGAGTCAGAACTTTCATTTTCTCTGTCCAAGGTATTCACAGTTGCCAAGCCCATCTGTTGCGTTAAATATTTCCTAATGTGTCTTGGGCCTCGATATGTTGCATATGTTACTGAAGGTTTCTCTGGTTTACCATCGATTTGTCTGTAAAAAGAGAACATGAAGAGTATCAAGAAATAGAACTAATAATACGTCATACTAATCTCAGCAACTGTGGTAAAAGTACATCTTTTAAACACTACTTCCCTTAATATGTAACAATTTGGGGAGTGAATCCTAGAATGCTTTAAACTTATCTTTATTAAAAATAATAAAAATTTAACAAGCAGCACCTGAATGTCAATGCAGCATGAAGAATGTTTCAGCTCCTTAGAATTGCTCCTTCTTACCTGATTACATACATACCTCTGACTGTGGTTAAAAGAATATGGGCTGATGAGTCCAAGCCTTGGGTTCCAGTTCTGATCTCAAAGCAGTATCTGACTCTAAGTAACCAGATTGACTTTGGGCCTCATATTACTACAAATTTAGGGATACATCACTGATTTCTCCACCACATTAAAGCATCATAATGACCTTCTATTCCTTTACTCTGAGAGGTGAATTTGAACAGCAACGTTTAGCATGTAAGTTGGAAACGTTTTAAAGAAAAACAGATGGGAAGATATCTAGGCCACAGTAAGCACGCATTATGTATTTGTTAACAAATGACAAAACTGCATTAAAATTCTCTGTGTTCAGTTCTTCAAATATTCAATTAGTGTAGTGAGTATTAAACTGTTTGGACAAATGCAAAAATCAAAATAGATGTCTAGATTAAGCATAGAGAACCAACCAATCCCAGTATAAAGATCCTGTTCCTCTCAGCACCCAGTTTCCTTTGGAGAATCTACCTCTGGGAGTTCTCACACTGTGCCATGCCATCTTGTAGCCAATTACACACACTGTTCTCTGCCCTTAATGCCAGAATCAGCAGGAAACTCTAATGTCCTCTAAGACTCAGCACACAAATCATGTCCACTGCAAACCTATCCCTCTACTACTAAGATGGACAGTTAGTCTTTGATCTGTGGGTGCACAGAGTACATTTGCCACATTAAGCATAAAGATATGTGCACTTATTATATCTTCGCCACTAGCCTGGTGGCTATTTGAGGGAAGGTACTGTGTCTTAATCATCTTTCTAAGTGCCCCACACAAGATTTGGCAAATTGTATATGCTTAATACCTCTTCTGAATTAATGAACAAGTAAAGCAATGATGCTCAGTGCTAAGAAATCTATTTCAAACTAATGTCTTAATTCTTATATGTGATAATCAAAATGTTTTAAATTTTGAACGCTAATTACCTTTCAGTTTCCTGACTATAAAATTATGGCATGCACTTGTATGTTCATTGCAGCACTATCCACAACGGCAAAACTATGAAACCAACCTAGCTGCACCAATGATAGACTGCATAAAGGAAATGTGGTACACAGACGCCATCAAGTACTACAGAGCCACAAAAAAGAAGAAAATCATGTCCTCTGCAGCAACATGAATGCAGGTGGAAGCCGTGATCCTAAGTGAATTAATGCAGGGACACCAAATCCCACATGTTCTCACATATAACTGGAAGGTAGACGTTGAGTACAAATGGACCCAAAGAGGGAACGATAAACACTGGGGCCTGCTTGAGTGGTGAGGGTAGGAAGAGGGCGAGGACTGAAATACTACCTCAGGTGCTATGTCCGTTACCTGGGTGATGAAATAATCTGCACACCAAAGCCTCACAACATGCAAGTTATCCATGCAACAAACCTGCAGATGTACCCGACTCTAACAGTTGAAATTACTTTTTTTTTACGTATGGTAGAAAAATCTAATATGTGTTCTACTTGATTTTTTTCTGATTAGACATATGCTTAACCAAAATATTACTATGAAATACACATGAATAATTTAAAAATTCAGTTATCAGTATTCCAATAGCTAAAAAACACATGTTATTGACAACTTTAAAGCAGTTACATTAAGAATTCTAGATTTGTCTAATTGATAAAATAGAAAGTATATCTCTTTTGACATGTGAAAACTTCACCAACTGTGTCTCTTAAATACTTCTTGACTTTTAGCTGAAATATTTCATCCTATATATCTCCTGGACCCTTAAAATACTGACACACCACTATTGTAAAAAACTATGTTAGTTATATTCATTTATTTTCACTGTCCATTATAGAGCACTAAAGCAGATGCATAAAGAAAAGTTTTATCTTGCAAAAAATGAGTCTTAGTTGCTGCATGAATTTCAGGCTACATCAAGTACTGTTACGAAACAAAATCAAAACTTGAATGAGACAGCATTATTTGACATTTGGGTCTTTCCTCATTGTTATTTTTTAAAAATCTAATCCTTATGAAGACACAGCCCAATGTATTGTTTTTATTAATCTCTCCATGTAAGCCTCTTACACGAAACCAACTATGACACAAATCATAAAAATGTGATGGCAACCTCTATGTGTAAGAAAACTAAGTACAAAGTTATGTTCTTACATGTGAATCTTCCAATTGTTATATGCAATATAAAAGTTTTGTACCATTTTCTGTTTCATAATGTAGTGAAACAACATACCAATTTAAATGATGTATCATGTTTTACTCAAAGTAAGCTCTATGATAATAGGATCATTAAATACTTAATTTGTAGCTACCAACAAAATCCCAAAAGTTAAATGAATGAATGGTGAATATATAAATAAAACAATGAAATAAAAATGTTGGATAAGGCAACCAGTCCCTGAAAACATGTAAGAAGAAAAAAAATAGGTAAATTAATGCTATTAGTAAAATACCATATCAAAATACGTAAGTTATTCAGAAAATACAAGAGTCTTTCAGAACATATGACGATACAGAAGCCTGAATAAATGACAGGTTTTTCCTCTCAAAGTTTTAACATTTCATACCTAAAACCTACTGTTAACAGATTGCAATGTTTCTTTTTGCAAAAGATCACAAAAATAATTCTGAAGAAATCAATACCAAGAAATGTTCATGGTCAATGGAAATAAGAGATAAGGATCAGAAATTTATTCTAATGTAGTAGACTTAGGTCCTCTTATTACCAACTCTGTCTTAGCCAAATGTTAAAGCATTGTATGCTGCTTCAATGCAACTTTTGATCTGAAAGGACTTCTAATAGACCACAGAAAAGTCCAGTAAACTTCAACTCACTATAGTAATAGCTTTTGGTATTGGGGTCTTTTGCAGGGTAGGTGGTGGGAATCACTGTTTAATATTTTTTAGGGCTTTCTGAGTACTTTCAATAAAGTTGATTAAGTTAATTTATATTACTTTACTGTTTAAATTTCTAACTAACATGCAGCACTGGAAGTGGAAATATTATATACTTGTCATTAAAATATACATTCTTTAGACTAAACAACTATATTATATTTAAAGAATGATAAATCAAAGTTACAAGTTCAGCTTCATATATTACAGTCAGTCCCTTCAGGTACTAATGAGCTACACTCCTCTGCCTTTTTTTTAATTCCCCATTTTTAAAAGGTTAAGTCATGCCACAATTATTTTTTAGATCATTCTTTCATGGAGTGTAGTTGAGTCCACACAATTAAATAATAAGAACATGAAGTTGTCCTTTAATTTTTAATTTTTCCTGAGTAAACAGAAATGCCAAAAAGCCTATAGCTAAAAATAAGCTGAAGATGGAAAACTACAAATTACAGAACTTTTTTCCACATTGTATTTAACAGTGGGAGGATTCACATGTAAGAATAGAATTTTGCACTTAGTTTTCTTTCACATGGAAGTTACCATTGCATTTTTATTATGTATTTATATCACTTGTAGTTTAGACAGGGAAAAGGGAGTGTCACTTCATGCATGCTGTAATTATACATACGCTCCACAGCTTATGCTACATACCGAAGTTACATAATCCAAAGAATAGTAAGAAAAAAAGTAAAATACCTAAAAATTTCAAATATTTAAGGAATACATGTGGAAAATCTGAAAAGGATTTACAGATTTTAGTCCAACACATAATTACTCATTATGTGAGGGCTTATTAAGCCTTTCAGTAATACATACAGCTATGCTCTATGCTAGATAAATTTGATACACTTGACACTACAAAGGTCAATCAAAGGCATGTACCATTCTTCAAAGAAAATTTCATAGCAGCCTGAAAGTAATAGCTAGACTTACAGTAAAAGTACCTAATTCACTTTTAGGAAAATATGACTAAGCTACTTCTTTATTTTTTTGAGATGGAGTCTTGTTCTGTCCCCAGGCTGGAGTGCAGTGGCACAATCTCAGCTCATTGCAACTTTTGCCTCTCAGGTTCAAGTGATTCTCCTGCCTGAGCCTCCTCAGTAGCTGGTATTACAGGTACATACCCCCACACCTGGCTAATTTTTTATGTTTTTGGTAGAGAGGGGGTTTCACCATGTTAGCCAGTCTGGTTTCGAACACCTGACCTCAAGTGATCTGCCCGCCTTGGCCTCCTAAAGTGCTATGATTATAGGCGTGAACCACCATACCTGGCTGACTAAGCTACTTTTTTTAACAGTAAGATTTATTTCCTTTCAAATTACAAGGAATATCTTTTTGTATAATAGAAAAAGCTTTTTAGCTTTTCTATGGAAAGAAAAGCTGCAAACCCAGCAAATTTAAAAAAAAAATCAGATGAGAGCTTTCAGAGAAGAGTTTATCATTATGCATATGTCCCTGTGAAAAACAGAAATAGAATTTAAAAAAAAATTAACCCAACAATAAAGTAGCTTCCTATGTAAACTACATCGGAAACATGAATAGACAGAAAACAATCTAAAAATATTGCCAAACAAGTGTCATAAAGGTTTTATGGATATTAAAAATAAAATTTGTACAGTTATATACAGAAACAATGGCAAAACTATTAAGTGAAGATCAAGTCACTTACATTGCCTTTTCGTGAGGATTTTTTTTTAAATTCACTTTACATAATAGGTACAGGCTGAACATTCCTAATCTGAAAATCTGAAATCCAAAATGCTCCAAAATCCAAAACTTTTTGAGCACCAACATGATATCACAAATGGAAAATTTATCTTTTTTTTTCTTCTTTCCAACTTTTAGGTTCAAGGAGTACATGGGTGGGTTTGACAAACGGATAAACTGCATGATAAGGGTTTCATGTGCACATAAGTTTGTCACCCAGAAACTCAGCATATTACCCAAGGGGTAGTTTTCTAATCCTAATCCTCTTCCCATCCTCAAACAGGCCTTGGTGTCTATTGCTCCCTTCTTTGTGTCCACATGTATTCAATGTTTAGCTCCCACACAGAAGTAAGAACATGCAGTATTCGGTTTTCCTGTTCCTGCATTAACCCATTTATGCTGGAGTCTGCAATTTTTCCAGTGTGAAAAAATCAGACCTTGGCAATGACCTTGAGCAGTAGGATATAAAGAACTCTCACAGGCTTAGCATTCCAATAATGAAACACTTGGCATAAAGGAGTTAATTCAATTAGACAATGGACTCTCACTCTGTCTAGGTTGCTACAAAGGACATGATTTAATTGTTTTTAATGGCTGTGTACTATTCCATGGTGTTTATGTACCACATTTTCTTTATCCAGTCCACCACTGATGGACATTTAAGTTGATTTCTTTGCTATTGTGAATATTGCTGCAATGAACAGACAAATGCATGTGTCTTTATGGTAGAATGATTTATATTCCTTTGGTTATATACCTAATAATGGGATTGCTGGGGCAAATGGTAATCTAAGTTTTTTGAGGAATGGCCACACTGCTTACCACAATGGCTGAATGAATTTACACTCCAACCAGCAGTGTATAAGGGTTCCCTTCTCTCCACAACCTTACCAGCATGTTGTTTTTTGATGTTTTGATAATAGCCATTCCAACTGGTGTGAGATAATATCTTACTGTGGTTTTGATTTGCATTTCTCTAATTATTAGTGATATTGAGCATTTTTTCTTATGCTGTTTGGCCAAGTGTATGTCTTCTTTTGAGAAGTGTTTGTTTACATCCTTTTGATAACTGCTAGCCATATGCAGAAGATTGAAAGTGGACACCTACCTTTCTTTCACCATATACAAAAATCAACTCGAGATGGACTAAAGACAAATATAAAACCTAAAATTACAAAAACCCTGGAATAAAACCTTAGAACTACCATTCTGGACACTAGCCTTGACAAAGACTTCATGACAGACTTCAAAAGCAATGCAACAACAACAAAAAAATTGACAAGTGATACCCAATTAAACTAAAGAGCCTCTGCACAGCAAAAGAAACTATCAACAGAGTAAACAGAACCTATAGAATGTGAGAAAATATTTGCAAAATATGCATCTGACAGAGGTCTCATATCCAGAATCTATAACTCAAACAAATCAACAAGCATCTTTGCTTTCTGATGGTTTAACGTACACAACTTTGTTTCATGCCCCAAATCATTTAAATCATTGTAGTTTCCTATAATAATTCAGGCTATGTGTATAAGATGTAAATGAACATAAATGAATTTTGTGTTTAGACTTAGGTCTCATCCTCAAGATATCTCATTATGTCTATGCAAACATCCCCCCAAAAAGTCTAAAATCTGAAAAAAATAAAAAATCTGACACACTTCTGGTCCCAAGCATTTTAGATAATGGATACTCAACTTGTAATAACTTGTCTAAATTCTGAAAACTGTAGTAATGGTAATAAGAAAAATTGTGTCTGCTATACAGTACAGGATATTTTATTACCTTGTTTAAGCTATTAACCTTTTATAATACACCTTGATTCACTTTTTTAAAAAGTAGGAACATTCATCCATGAGAAAGGCAATGAAAAAATTTAAGTTAATTCATTCCTCCTTATATTAAAAAACTGAAATGTTTATATGTGACACTGAAATCTCCTAGTAACTGCAAAAGTCTAGGCTCTTTTATTTTTTAATTTATATGTAATAATTGTACATACTTACGGCATACAGAGTGATATTTTGATACAGGTATACAATGTGTAATGATTAATTCAGAGAAATCAGCATATCCATCACAAACATTTATCATTTGTGTTGTGAACATTCAGAGTCCTCTCTACTAGCTGTTTGATAATATATGATCAATTATTAGCTACAGTCATCCTACAGTACTACAGAACATTAGAACTTAATCCTTCTATGTAGATGTAGCTATAATTTTATATCCATTAACCATCCTCTACCCTATAAGCTCTTTATTTTAAATAACATTTTATATTTGAAATAGTCTCATGATCATGAATAAAAAACTTAAATATATCATTGCTTTTAATAATTAATAATTAATATCAAGAGCCAAAATAACTTTAAAATATAATCCAGATTCTCAAAATTATCATTAATAAATAATTCTCTACATAGATTATCTAAATAACATCTAAAATCAGTTGTAAGTTGTAATCCTACTGTCAAAATGAACTATTGCCAAAATGGTATTTGCATCTTAAATTATAATTCTTAAGCATGTGACAGCTCTCAAGAGGAAGTTACTGAAACTGTAATTCTAAGCCTGGTAAACTGTGGGATTTTCAAAGCTAGGCCTGAAGGAAGGTGGCATCACAGTCAAACTGGCAGTCAGGTGGTTTTTTTCCTTTCCTCCTAAACGAAGGAAAGGAAAAAACATTGGTGAAGACAAAAGAATGGTAAAGGAACACCATTCTTTGTTGAGGAGATTTTGAAGAATTGCCTTAAGCAATTATTCTGTTAACAAGGACGGCTTTAATAACAAGAAAAAAGAGCCAAAGTATTCTCCCCACCCCCTTTTTTAAAAATCAACTAGTACCAAATAAAAAAATCTGACCAAACTAATCAAAATCAAAGGAAAGGAAAAAGTACAAAATTCCCAATCTACCCAATTCCCATAATAGCCTCGAAATTATCACCATTTTAAATTACTTTAAAATGCTAGATGTCAAATGTGGGCATGCAAAACAGTTATCTAGGGAGGTTGTTAGAATACTGCTGGGCCCCACTCCTGCAGAGATTGTGCTTCAGTGGATCTGATAATGCGCATTTCTAATGAGGTCCCAGGTGAAGCTGCCCCACGGCTCCAAGGACCACACTCGGAATCCTATTCACATGCTATGGCTGCAGCACTACTGAGCCACTTTTCTGCTGCTGGACACTGATTTCCAAACATATGTTCCTATAATGTTTGAATGAACACTGTATATTATCAGAAATGACCCACAAACGTAAGGTTCTTGACATATATTGCCAATTGAATTTCCAAAACATGCTACCAATTTATACTGAACTCCTAACAGTGTATACAGTGCCATATACCTTGCTAGTGAGTTGGTGTCTAAACTGCTTATCAGTTAAAGCATTCTCTTTCATTTTTTTCCTGCATATAATTTTCTTATTTTTCATTTAAATTTATTATTGCTTATTTGACATAAAAGAGTTTGAAACCGAGAATAAGTTTTAATCTACTGATCTCTTTCTTGATACCTTCCATTGCTATTATGCTTAGAAAGTCATTTCTCACCAAAATAAAAATGTACAAATGCTGCTTTTAATTTTTATGATTTTTAACATTTGTTACTCTATCTTAATTTACTTTCATACAAAGATGAGGAACACATAATGGCACCACATTCTAGATATCAAGTTACATACATGAGACTCCATTTCTAGACTGTCTACTCTGTTCCATTTAAATGTCTACCAAATATTACATCAGTATGACATTGTTTCAAATACCACAGCTTTATCAATACATTTTTAACTTCTGGTGGAACAAGCCCCACAACATTATTCTTGATGGACAAACTCTAACCTAGTTTCACAGAGCTGTAAGATGGGTCTATGCCTATATCATAAGCTTGCTATGAGGTTTTAACAGAAAGCACCTAAATGAAGACACCTGGAAACTATAAAGAACTGCATAACTAAGTATAAGGTGCTACTTATATTTGACCACAGTATTATTGATGGCTTCTTCAAATAATAAATTCTCAAGCAGAGGTAAAAGTAAAATCAATAAAATGGAAGCTTACTAGTTACAAAAGAATACTTTTATGTCACACAAATACCAAATGGACTCAACAATGTTATAAACATTCCATAGGTACAAAATATTACTTCTAGCTCATTTGAGAGGAAAAGGAAAAACAAGTTGGTGTGTGTTTGCTAAACAAAAAAGAAAAGGGTGGTAAAGTGCTTCTTCAAGCAAGATTTTAGTTTCTTAGAGCTGTGTGACGGTTCATAAAGCTAGTTTCATGAATACAGTCCATTTAATTGCATTTCTTAACTGCTTTAATTAAATTTTACAGAACAAAGATATTGACAGAATAAGAATACAAACCAGAGGACCATTCCCCCCCATCAAAATGCACATATTAAATATATTGCCTGTCCTGACACAGGAGGAATTCCAGCAACAGAAAACATTACCATTCAGGGAAAAAATAAATATTTTACTAAGACAAATTTAGCAGGCCCTAGAATACCTTTATGATTCTCTGTACCATGATTGATCACCTGTATGGTACAGAGAATCACACAATTTTTTACCCAGTAGTAGGGACATTACAGAATATCTCTTCCAATCCCATCAATTGGACTAAAGCTCAAAGCTAGGTCCAAAAAACTCGAATTTTTGGTTCAATTAAATTTTAAACTTACTTTAGCAAATTAGTGGTTTCTTGTTCACTGTCTTGAGTTGTATCCAAAGAAAAAGCATCTGAGAGTTCGGATGAGTCTTGTTCTTCTGTTGGATGTGTCTGGGTTCCCAGGGAGCCACTGAAAATTTCTCTCTCCCTTTTGATCCCTTCTTCATGATGGTCACTGGGATTCTGTAAATTTTTCTCAGTTTTATCATGGTCATCTTTGAAAGAAGACTGCTTAGCTTCTCCTAGAGACGATTTTCCTGAGATATTGAATAAGTTACCAAGAAACTGAAAAAAGCTTTCCTTTGGCTGTCTGTCACTTTCTCCTATTTTGGTATCTGACGTGGAACTGGAAAGATCACATGCCTTTTTGGGATCTTCCTGAATTGGAAAAGTGACTGGCTTCTCAGTGTGGTTCCTTTTTTCCTCACTTTGGAGAATCTTTGAAAACAAAACAGACAATAACAAGCATCATCATTTAAATAAAGCAGACTGAGAACTATTACAAAACACACTCTGTAGACACCAGGGATACATCTGTGAATAAGACTAATGGCTTCCATCCTTTGGGCAGTTCACAATCTACTGAAGAACATTGTAAGCATGACCTTTAAAAAGCTATAAGGTAAATGTCATGAGGGGAGAAGTACTGCACACATGGGAACCCAGAACAGGAGTAACTAGTCCAAACCAAGGTAACTTGGGGAATGCTTCCTAGGGAAAGTGCACTCTTTGAAGGGGACAGAAAAAGTGACTATGTGATGCTTATGCATCTGTGTGTGTGTTTAGTGAGGTTTCAGCTCCTAAGGGAGTTTAATACGACTGGAGGTTAGGGTATGAAAATGACAGCAGTGAGAGGTAAATATGTAGAGAGAAGAGACCACAGTAAACCTTATGTGTACTTAAATTCAGCCTTTATTATTACAGAGCTAAGGGAGAATATTTCAAATACTTGGTACTGTAGATAAGAGCACCTCAACAGACCTCATCACTTCCGCATTATGTTAACCCATGAAGCTGGCACAATATGTAAAATTATTCAAGAAGATGAGGAAAAGACAGTAACACGGTACTTCAATTCAGAGAAAGAGCCCACTTGTGGGCCTTCAAGGTAAAATATTAACATTTTGTATCAAGTCCTGATACATAATGTTAATACAAACCACGGATAGCGTCTGGCATTCTTGAAGACAAACACTTCCAGAAGTCCATTTTGCCTGCTCATAATTCAGTTACTGGTAAAACAAACTCACATTAATGCATACTTTGTGTAAGGAAAAACAGAGCTGCTATATCAAAGAGCATGTTGGCATTCCACTTTGCACTATTTCCAGATTCTAAAAAGCTTTAGGCCCATGAGCCAACTCACCCTGCCTTCCAAACATGCTCACTCACATCCTTGTAAGAAGAATGCCCACCTTACAGTATCTGCCACTGGTTATGCTCACTAGCACTTATAAAAGAAAGGTCGCCGGGCGCGGTGGCTCAAGCCTGTAATCCCAGCACTTTGGGAGGCCGAGGCAGGTGGATCATGAGGTCAAGAGATCGAGACCACCCTGGTCAACATGGTGAAACCCCGTCTCTACTAAAAATACAAAAAATTAGCTGGGCATGGTGGCACATGCCTGTAATCCCAGCTACTAAGGAGGCTGAGGCAGGAGAATTGCCTGAACCCAGGAGGCGGAGGTTGCGGTGAGCCGAGATCGTGCCATTGCACTCCAGCCTGGGTAACAAGAGTGAAACTCCGTCTCAAAAAAAAAAAAAAAAAAAGGAAAGGTCAAGTGTGAGCCAGAAACAATCAGAAGACCAAGGCAAAACCACCTTAGGGCACTGCAGGTTCACGTGACAATATTTTGTCTTCAAGAAGGCAAGAACATCACAGTTATAATGTCATTCTTTCACCTCATTCCATGTTTTGGTCCAAGTTCAAATTAGTATAAAGAAGTATTTAACCACTAAAAAAGATTCAGCATGTGAAAGGTTGAGAATATGTTTAGAAGCTATTAACTCAGCAAACTGATTGCAAGCAAACTATCTAGATCTATATACATGTATTTTTTCTTTTTGACACAGAGTCTCTCTCTGTCACCCAGGTTGCAATGCAGTGGTGTGATCTCGGTTCACTGCAACCTCCGCTTCCTGGGTTCAAGTGATTCTTCTGCCTTAGCCTCCTGAGTAGCTGGGATTATAGGCATGTGCCACCACACTTGGCTAATTTTTGTATTTCTAGTAGAGATGGGGTTTCACCATGTTAGTCAGGCTGGTCTCGAACTTCCGACCTCATGATCCGCCTACCTCAGCCTCCCAAAGTGCTGGGATTACAGGCGTGAGCCGCCTTGCCCAGCTCACAAGCAAACAATATTTTTAAGTTTGTTCCTACCTTCGTGTCAAAGGGGATTTCTGAGTAAGCACATGACATTTTTTGATGTGTTAGGATTTAATATATCTTGTGAGCCTCTACATTTAGAATATCAACAGCCTTCTGGAGACACTACAGATCTCACCTCTCACCAGTTTCAACTACAATTTTAATTCCACTTGTCTCCACTTCACCTGTCCAACGTTCTGCTCATTCTGACAGCTGGCACTATAAGTCACCTGTGCCCTCTACTCATATAAGCAGCATAAACAACCTCTCAGTTTGGCAGCAGAAGACACGCCAGTTGACATTTTGAAAATGGTCATTTATATGAAAGATACATATTTTTGTTAATAATTTGATTTGCAATTTTTAGCCTCAGTATTTCTCCCTGGGTCAAAAACAACATCGGAACATGATAAGAACAGTGTTTAGATCTTTCTATAAGTAGTATGAAGTGGCTGCTCATCTTATGTAGCCACTTGAAGAAAGTAAACTACAGGCTGCTCATTAAAATATCATAAATACTCTTAAAATGCTTTAGAAATTTGCAAAAGAGTCTTATGTAATCTAGGCAATGGTTTAAAAGAAGAAAAATGAACAAGATCACCACTTTCAACTTCATTAAAATGTCAAAACAGTAATTTTTGTCAAAAAATGTATTTATCTCACTAATATTTTTACTTGCTCATTCCTTTCAAAGTGTAAAAGGTTGCTTTCCAAATGAGAAAGATATATTTTGTGAAATTAATAAAAGATTTTACATTTAACCTTTTAAAGTTGTATACAATTTTTTTAAAAATCATGTTTCTCCTTCCCCTCAACTATCTGCTTCGTTGCTATTCCAGAATCCTTATAAGTTTACTAAAGAGTATTTTTAGTTCCCTTAAATGTTTTAGTTGATTAATTTTTCCCTCATAATCTTATGAGAAATGTATATTAGTAACTAAAACACCTTCAACAACAAAAAAGTTTCTGCATTTACAAACAAAACCAGATGAAAAAATACACTGCTATTCAAAGTAAACACCTGCAATAAATTATGTATTTATAGAATTAAAATTTTAAGTTTGATCCAAAGAAGCTATTCTTCATCCTCAACCTGGACAAGTTCAGCCTGCCTACCGGCCCTCATTATGTGGGCCCTATATCTGTCTGCCAACAGGACTGTCTACCATTATAACGAGGAGTGAGCAGAATGAAAGCACTCAGGACTCAAGCAAACACTAAGAAAATATGCATTCTAGTTGCTCTCCAAGATTTTGGTATAATATATAACATATGAATGCTACTGATGAAGGCATATGAATCTTTGGAATTTTCAATGTTTTTCTTTCACGTTCAATATGTTGTAACGCAGTACCCCTAGTCCAAATGCATTTATCTGTCTACTCTCTTTGTTACGTTAGGTCCCAATACAACAAAATACAGAAAAGCATTATGTATAGTGATTAATAAGATTTAGCTGCAGTCTTCAAGAAGCTTATAATCTAGGAAAATACTCATCATTGTATTAGTATCACTGTGGGGGGCTCATAAGAGATATGTACACAATGGAAGCCATAATTAACTAGTGGGGATGTAGAGAAATGATCTTCTTTGCACAGAAGATAACATTTGAGCTTAATTCTGAAGAGTGTTAAGAGCATTCTAGACACAAGCCATGGTGCACACAAAGACACATAAGTTTGAAATATGTTTACCACGGCATAGATGTGGCTGAAGAAGATTGGAGCACAGAGGATAAAGAGTTTGATAAGATACCAGTTAGAAGTGCTGTAATATGGTCACAGATAGCTGAGTTATCTAAATTGGACAACAATTTGAGTAGGTAAGCAAAAAAAAAAAAAAAAATAGAAAAGAAAGGACATGGAAAAAAAAAAGGGAGGTGAGAATTGGGGCTCTGGGTGAAAGGAAGGTAGGGCAGCAAACTATTTAGTTGTCAAACATGAAATTTTTGGTCCCTTGATACACAAGTTGACAGTCTGATATAAACAGAAATACAACTGAAGAATGCAGTTTAGCAATACACAATGTATGCAGGAAAAAAAGAGTAATTACCAAAAGAGCCCTATAGAAAAGATAAATAGGCAAAAACAGTGAAAAGAAGAAACCAGTGAAAGAGATGGAGGTCAAAACCAGGCCAGGTTAGTCTCTCTAGGATACCACAGATCTCCAAAGAAATAAAGAACACTTCAAAAGGCAGATGGGAGTAAAGAATGCCAAACGGCACTGTGAGCTCAAGGAAGATGACGAATATCCTCCTCATTGGTCTTCTAAAACATCAACCACACAGCCACTTTGGGAATTTTGCCTTTGGTTTTCTCTCTTCTTAGAATGTTCATCCCCCAGATACCGATATGACTTACTCTTGCCTCCTTCAGACCTTTACTTGAAAGCCACCTCGTCAATGAAAATTCTCTCAGCATGATCTAAAATAGCAGACCCTGCACTGTAAAACTGCCAATCCTCCTTGCTTTATTTTTTCTCCTTGTACTTACTATTATAGTAAATACACACACATCACATACCTACAACATTTAATATGTGTTTCTTCCTTTAGGATGTAACATCCACAAAGGCAAAGATTTTTGTCTATTTTACTCACTGCAGAATCCCTACCACCTTGAAACATGCCTGATAATACGAGGAGCTCAAACGTTTCTCAGTGTAATAGATGAAGAAATTGAAAAGCCCTAAGAATGCAGGAGAAATAGTCATAACAGTTCAAGAATTCATAAGTTCAGTCCAAAACCTGAGGTGCTAAATAGTGAGTAGCTAGCAAGGAAACAGGAATAGTCAGAAGTAGACAGGAAACCTTTTCAGAGATTTTATACTAGATTTTGTCAAAGGCGTTTTAAGTTCCAAGACAGAACTTACTGCATCAGCTACGCTTGTTGGAAAGGGAGTGACTACGGTATAAAGGGATGGATGACAGTTTCCAGAAGGAAAGGCAGGAGGTGAGGATATGAAGAGAATAATATAATTCCTAATGCTCCTAATAAAGACAAACCATTAACATTGGAGAGAAGGACATTTTCTCTACCAAGTAAAGTGGCAAGGAGAGTGGCTAAAGCCTTAT